ATTGATGAGAACCACCTCCTGTGTTGGGCTATAGTGTTCCATTTTCATTGATGAGAACCACCTCCTGTGTTGAGCTATAGTGTTCCATTTTCATTGATGAGAACCACCTCCTGTGTTGGGCTATAGTGTTCCATTTTCATTGATGAGAACCACCTCCTGTGTTGGGCTATAGTCTTCCATTTTCATTGATGAGAACCACCTCCTGTGTTGGGCTATAGTGTTCCATTTTCATTGATGAGAACCACCTCCTGTGTTGGGCTATAGTCTTCCATTTTCATTGATGAGAACACCTCCTGTGTTGAGCTGTAGTCTTCCATTTTCATTGATGAGAACACTTCCTGTGTTGGGCTGTAGTGTTCCACTGTCATCAAAAAGAACCACCTCCTGTGCTGCTGCCTGTTTTTTGTTTGTCAACTTGACACAAAATAGAGTCATTTGAGAAAAAAGGGAACCTCGACTGAGAAAACACCTCCATCAGATTGGCCTATAAGAAACTCTGTGGGGGCATTTTCCCAGTTAATTATTGATGCGGAAGTCCCAGTCCACTGTGGTCACTGCTACCCTAGGCAGGTTGTTCAGAGGCTGTGTAAGAAATGGTTGAGCAGGGCATTAAGGGCAAACCAGGAAGTTCCTCCATGCCTCAGCATCAGTTCTGTATCCAGGATCCTGCTTTGAGTTCCTGCCCTGACTTCCCTCAGTGACATACTATGATCCTGGGCCATGTTAGCCTTTTCTTTCTAAGTTGCTTTTTTTTTATTATGATGTTTATCACATCAACAGGAGAAAACGAGGAAAGCTCCCCACACTATGATTTCTGAAATCAACTCTTATATGGGGAAAGTCACCCAGCTGATTTTCTGTTAGGAAACTGAAGATTCCCATTGGCAGGGAGGACAGGAGGTATCATAGGTTAGGAGTCAGGCAACTGAGTGGTGGAGACACAGATCACTTAACCAGAAGAGAATCCTCTCAGGAGCTCTGCTTGCCATAGCGACCTTACGTGGCCATCTCACACCAGAACTGCTTACAACGAATTCCCCAGGAGAGCAGGACTGCTCTCCTCTCAGCATCCGACTACACACGTGTACATGAGGAGAGGATTCAAGAAGAAACTTCTTTCATTCTGTGTGTAGCTGTGTACCTGAGGCAGAATACTCAGAAAGCACACATGGTCAATGGTTTCTTCTTTTACAGAATTCAAGTCCCATGAGCAGTGATCTGGGAAAGAAGGCTAGTGCCAACCTGGACCCAACAACTGGTGGGTCAAAGTCTTTCAGGTGAGTCTCCCTTAGAATCTAAAGACATGATGACTAGGTAGTGTTGGTAGAAATTCACACTTGTCTTCAACTGAGCTTTGATGCACAGGCCCCTTGTCCCTTGTTGTCCCTTGCCGTGGAAATGCTTCTTTGTGGTTTGAGTTGCTCAGCCACCTTCCAGAGAAGTTTCTGTTTTGAAAAGAAATGATTCCTGCCATCTGAAGCCATTTTGCAAGGATTTGTTCTAGAGGTTCAAGCTGCAGTGTCTCTGATATAGGTTCCTTTGGGGGCTCAATATGGCAAATGGCATCATAGCAGGAGACGAGAGGAGAGGGGGAAGATCATGTAACAAAACAGGAACCCTAATGGCCCAACAGGCACCAGGTGTCTTCCTCAGTTGATCCCCACTTCATCTTTTGAGACAGAGTCTCTCTCTGAACCTTCTGCTCACTGACTTGATGGGACTGACTGGCTAGCAGGTGAACATGATTAAAATACTCTGGATGAAATTCCCAAAGACTACTAAAACCATGAGGAAATAAACCCTTCAGGTCCTCGTGTTTGCATAACAAGGCAGGTACTTTGACAACTTCTCAGCCCCTCTTCTTGAGACCTTTATAGACCTAAACCCAACAAAACTGTCAAGTGCAGACACTCTTTTCCCCAAGCTGGGGCTGAAATCCCAAGCCTTAAACAACCTAGGTAATGAGTGTCACTGAGCTAAAACCTCATCTCCTGCTCATTCTAGTGCACCTTCCAGTTAGAATTTTTCAGAGTTTCTGTAGCCAAGGGATGTAAAAGTCAACATATACAGCACAGTTTTAATTGAAAAATACACATCAAAAGGTCTCTATGTAATCATTTCTAGTATAATTCGGATTGGGTTGTATCAGTTTATTAAGGCTTCTCTGGGTAGTAGGATTCAGAATTTTGAGAACAGATAGCTGAAATTTCCTAAGTCCCCGTGACCAGCATTACATGAAAACAACACACAGACATAAAAATACAAATGCAGGGTTGGAGAGATGGTTCAGTTATTGAGAGCACTGGCTGACTTGCCAGAGGGCCCGAGTTCAGTTCCCAGCACCCACACAGCAGCTCACAAGCATCTGTAACTCCATTCCCAGGGATCCAACACCATTTTCTGACCCTGTGTGCACCAGACATGCATACATGTAAGCAACACCTATCCTCACAAAAATAAAAATAGGTCTTAAAAAAACACAAAGGTACAATTCATAGTCTTAGGCAATTTCCTCCTGTAATGGGACTGCAACTTATTTATTTCCCTCTATATGTACATATGGAACTACAGTTTCCATCATAAATATTCTGTATGTTTTGCAGAACCAAGCCTTTCCATCTACATAGAATAAACTTCAAATACCTCACCTGGAGAGTTAAGACCTTCCATGATCAGACTCAAGCTCCCTTTAACACATTGCCCCTTACATTTCAATAAAACATACCTACTCTCTGGCTTTCAGAAGGAGTCTCACTGTTTCTTTTCTGGTTGGGAATCATACCCAAAGCTCCCTGCATGCTAAGAAGTTGTCTGCCACTATTATTTCTCTAAATAATTTTTTGTTGGTTTTCCAAGACAGAGTTTTTTCTAGATAACCTTTTGACTCCTATGATCTCCCCATGTCTACATCATTGTATAAACTCATTTAGCTAGCAGCTTTTACTGTTCCATCTATTTTAAACCCTTTCTGTTTGCCTCCTATTTCTAATATAACTACTGTGTAAGGAACACCTCTTCTTGACTGTATCCTTCTTTCCATCATTCTTTCCTTTCTTTCTTCTGCTCTTCATTTCCCATTTTAGAAATGAATTTAAATTGTTGTCTTTAATTAAGTTTGTTAGTCCCCATTCCCTAAATTTCTTTCAAATTTTTTGTCAGCTAGCGTGAGCTCTTAGTCCGGGTATTTTGAAGCACTTCAGATTCGGATACTTGACAAGTGAGTGTAAAGCTAAGTGATCTTATCTGCCAACCAGAGCAAGGATTCCACACTGTCAAGACAGGCTAGCCAGGAAGGAGTCTGACCAACAGGAAGCGGAAGGGACAGTTTGTCAGATAAGACGCTACAGGGACAGCTGCAACTTCAGTCTGTTGAAAAGCCTAGCTCCAGGCCTGTGCTCACTCAGAGGCCAGGTTTATTACACTAGCGGCCATCAGATGCCAGCATGTATTAAACCGTGCGCTAAACGATTGTTCTGCTGGGCCGCCATTCCCATTTCCGTGTTGGAAACACACGTTTTCCTGGTGTTCACATGTTCCTCAACATTCCAAAGATCGATTCTCTTCTTCCTCCTTCCTTCCTTCTTCCCCTCCCCCTCCCTTCCTGACTTCCCTTTCTCTCCCCTCACTGTCTTCTCTTCCCCTTCCTTCCTGACTTCCCTTTCCCTCCCCCTCGCTGTCTTCTCTTCCCCTTCCTTCCTGACTTCCCTTTCCCTCCCCTCACTGTCTTCTCTTCCCCTTCCTTCCTGACTTCCCTTTCCCTCCCCCTCACTGTCTTCTCTTCCCCTTCCTTCCTGACTTCCCTTTCCCTCCCCTGACTGTCTTCTCTCCCCCTCCCTCCCTGACTTCCCTTTCCCTCCCCCTCACTTTCTTCTCTTCCCCTCCCTGACTTCCCTTTCCCCTCCCCCTCACTTTCTTCTCTTCCCCTTCCTTCCTGACTTCCCTTTCCCTCCCTCACTGTCTTCTCTTCCCCTTCCTTCCTGACTTCCCTTTCCCTCCCCCTCACTGTCTTCTCTTCCCTTTCCTTCCTGACTTCCCTTTCCCTCCCCTCACTGTCTTCTCTTCCCCTCCTTCCTGACTTCCCTTTCTCTCCCCTCACTGTCTTCTCTTCCCTTCCTTCCTGACTTCCTTTCCCTCCCCTCGCTGTCTTCTCTTCCCCTTGCTTCCTGACTTCCCTTTCCCTCCCCTCACTGTCTTCTCTTCCCTTCCTTCCTGACTTCCCTTTCCCTCCCTGACTGTCTTCTCTCCCCTCCCTCCCTGACTTCCCTTCCCTCCCTCCTTTCTTCTCTTCCCTCCTGACTTCCCTTTCCCTCCTCCTTTCTTCTCTTCCCTTCCTTCCTGACTTCCCTTTCCCTCCCTCACTGTCTTCTCTCCCTTCCTTCCTGACTTCCTTTCCCTCCCCTCACTGTCTTCTCTTCCCCTTCCTTCCTGACTTCCCTTTGCCTCCCCTCACTGTCTTCTCTTCCCCTTCCTTCCTGACTTCCCTTTCCCTCCCCTCACTGTCTTCTCTTCCCCTTCCTTCCTGACTTCCCTTTCCCTCCCCCTCACTGTCTTCTCTTCCCCTTCCTTCCTGACTTCCCTTTCCCTCCACTCACTGTCTTCTCTTCCCCTTCCTTCCTGACTTCCCTTTCCCTCCCCTCACTGTCTTCTCTTCCCCTTCCTTCCTGACTTCCCTTTCCCTCCACTCACTGTCTTCTCTTCCCCTTCCTTCCTGACTTCCCTTTCCCTCCCCCTCGCTGTCTTCTCTTCCCCTTCCTTCCTGACTTCCCTTTCCCTCCACTCACTGTCTTCTCTTCCCCTTCCTTCCTGACTTCCCTTTCCCTCCCCCTCACTGTCTTCTCTTCCCCTTCCTTCCTGACTTCCCTTTCCCTCCACTCACTGTCTTCTCTTTCCCTCCCTCCCCCTCCCTGACTTCCCTTTCACCCCCTCCCCTCCTTCCACTTAGCTTATTTTATCTATTCCTTTTCAGCAATGAAATATATTTGTACATTCAAGCAGCAGAGTAAACCCTGATTGTCTCTTTTATTGGAAGAAAAGTAGCTGGTCTACGATTTTAGTTTGAATCGTCAGAAGACACACAAATATATGCTTGACCTTTTCCAGTGGAAATAAAGCTTTCAAAAATTCAGTTATTGGAAGGTCAGTGGGGTGGCGTACGGGGTGAAGGTGCTGAGTTTCACCCCTGGGATCCACATGGTGAAAGGAAAGGATTGACTCCTAAAAGTTGTTCTCTGATCTCTGCACACATGCCATGGTGCAAACCTCCAGAAGTACCTACGGGAACACAAGGAAACACACAATAAATTAACTAATCTTTAGAAAGACTTAAAAATTGGCCACTTGATTATTTATAGGATCTGAGAATTCAGAATTGTCTGCATTATACATTTTGTTTTTCTATGTGCCTTTCATTCACAATTAATATATTGATTGACTGTCTAAGCAATATTTTAGGTGTGTATTACATGTCAAGTGCTATACTAAGTACTAGGAATACAGAATCAAATGAATCAAGAAACTTAGTGTAAATTACGGTGGACAGATGCGTAAAACCATTGCACCACAGTGGATTTGAAAAATGCACCAACAGAAGCAGACCTAGGCGCCCCTGAGGAGTGAGGCATGGTGGTCGGTACCTGGAAAGACTTCTCAAAGAAGTCTCAAGTTGTTCATACAGGTAAGAGCATTCCGTTACACTCTGACTGGTTTAATAAGGAGCCGAGCAGCCAATAGCTGGTCAGGATTTTTGAGGCAGAGAGGCCGTGGGAAGAAAGCTGAGTTGTCAGCCAGGCTTGGCGGAAGCAGGAAAGCAATTGGAGTGGGCAGTAGAGAGTAAAGCCAGAGGCAGAACATAAACCAGAAGAAATGTTGTTTAAGTCATAAGAGCTAGTTAGAAACAAGCCTAAGCTATTGACCACATTTTCACCGTTAATAAGAAGTCTGCATATGGTTATTTTGGAAGATGGCTGGCAGGACAGAAAATTCACCCGCATTGCATATCACCTGTTTTTTTTTTTTTAATTTCAGGAATGACATGACTGTTTTGCCAATCACATTTGTACAAGACAGAATACAAGCATGTATATTTCAGACCTCTCTCTAGACTTCAAATATACTAACATCTGTACTAGTGATAACGTCAGAGAAAAAAGTATGAAGCAAAACCAAAAACCATTCACCTAGGAGTAGAACTGGGCGCCTTGTGCGGCGTGATGTGGGGCCTCCTGCCAACCGGCTGTCAGATGTGTATTTGGCGGTGTCTCAGGCGTTGGCAATCTAGTTCTCAGAGGAGCGGTCCCCCGCCTTTTACCGTTTTCCCAACCGGAAAAATAAGTCATGCGGAAAGTACACGTGAAAGGCGTACAGAGGGAGGGCAGCCGCAAAGGCTATGCTCACGAAAAGCCTCTCTGTGCGCAGTTCCCGTGATCCCCGATCTCATCGCCAGAGCAGTGCGAGCCTTAGCAAGCAAGCGGCCTGCAGGCAAGCAAATGAAAAGCAGGCAACATGCCGTGATGGGAAGACCAGGGAAGACAGGAAATGGGCCAGGGCAGTAGGTGTAACAAACACGTCTGTAAAATGCTTAAGGTCTCATTTCCCCAGGGAGGCTGAGGCCCTCCATGGGGGTGTCCATAGTCTGTCATTTCATCCAGGGCAGGGCCTAGACCTTCCCCCAAGAGTTCAGGGTGAGAGTGCACCTCACATTGTTCTATGGGAGTCCAAAGTCCATGTGTATACTTGGGATGGGTACTGATCTGCTGCCCAAGGCTCAATAGATTACCTAGGCCTCCTCACTGACACCCAGATTCAGGGGGTCTTGATCAGTCCCATGCTGGATTCCCAGGGATACTGGGGGGGGGGTAGGGGGAAGGGCACAGGAGGAGAGGAGGGAAATGGAGAGGGACCTGGAACTGACTTGTGAAGCAACCTTGTTTCTAATTTAAATTTAAAAATAAATAATAAAAAAGAAAAAATGCTTAAGGTCTTCAGTGCGGTCATACATCACATACCAACAGTGCAGGCAGGGCTCTACTTGGAAAGGAGAGGAGGGGAGAGGAAGAGGGGGGAGAGGAAACGGGGGGGGCAATGGAGAGAAGGAGGGACTGGAAAGAGGGAGCAGGGGACACACTGAAGAGAAGCACAGGCAAGGAATCGGGTTCTTTCCCGCTTAGGATCACCTGCTAATCTGAATCTGAGGAGAACAACAAGAAAAGGTGTTTCAGTCTAGTAAATAATTTCAGTTCTAAGAGTCTCTGAGGAAAAGCAGTTATGGGTTCCTTGTTTAACACATGGGGCGCAAACCCCCAAATGGTTAGCTTCTGTCTCATAGATCCTCCTTGTTCTTCCCTTCCCATGAGCTTCCTCTTACAAACCATCAAATGTGGGGCCCGGCATGGCTGGCGCTCGCCTTTAATTCTAGTACTTGGAAGGGAGAGGTGGATGGATCCCTGTGAGTTCAAGGCCAGCCTGGTCTCCATAGTGAGTTCAGGTCAGGGCTACCCAGTGAGACTCTGTCCTAATCAGTCAGTAAATGAAAGAAATCAGTGGTGGTGCTTTTAAAAACCTTTTTAAAAAGGTGATTTTTTTCCCCTTCAGGTTTCCTTCTGGATTCTCCATCCTGTGTGTGTGGTGACATCAAATAGTATGGGCTGTGGTGACATATAGTGTGGGATGTAGCTATATAGGTGTGCACTTCCCTTACCAACATCTCACTGTATTTAGCTTTGGCTTCTAGAAGTTCTGCACAACTTGGACTTTTCTTTTTTTTACCAAGTTATTCCACCTCTGTCCGAGTCACAAACATTACTGTGTCTGAACTATAATTAAGTTTTCCAAATTAAAAAAAAATGGCACAGTTTTCTCTCCTGCCAGGCAGGAAGCATTTCCTGAAGATTAATCACTGTTTTGCCTTGCAAAATTCAGAAGGTTCAGAGAAGTTGGTAAAGAAGGTTGTAACACCCTACTTTGATTTTTGGTCTTTGGAAACAGTCCCATTTGGGTGGACGCAACGATGAGTCAGTCTGCGGGTGATCCCTGCAGGCACTGTCACTCTATAAAGCTCGGGAGGGTGGGTGTAGGAGGCAGGCAGGCAGGGAACACATCGAAGGCAGCACGGAGCCCAGGAAGCAGCGGAGATGAAGGCTCTCCCCGTCCTGCTGTGGCTGTGTGTGGTGGTTTGCTCTTCTTACCCACTGCACGGGGGTACAAGGGACGAGGACACCGGCATGGAGCTTCTTCGGGTAAGTCGGCCTCCAGGCTCCTTGGCAGGGCACAGCTCTGCATTCTGCAGATTGGTTCCGACTGCCTGCATGTGAGAGATTCCACAGTGGAGAGCCTGAGAGGCTATTGGGTCTCAGTATCACATGGTCCTTCCTTTTGTATGGGAAGAAACGAAGGCCACAGGCAGTGGGCCACATTGTGAAGGTCGCACAGTGTGGCAAGGTCACACAGTGTGGCAGCAGTAGCAGCACCAGCGCTGGAGGTGCAGGCATGACGAGGGAACAGAGCATGAACCAAGCCTTGCTTTGGACTGTCCTTTAGAGTTTGAGTCCATTACTAGAAAAAGATAGTAGTAGTGTTAGCACGTGAGAGCCTTGCCTTACTGTTCCCTAGCAGGCCACATCCTGTGAAAAGTGGAAAATTGGGGAAATGAAATAAAATGGCCCCAAGCAGACAAACGTTCTCATAAATGCTTATTTATTCCTGCACTAAATACTTATGAATCCCCCCCCCACTTTTGTTGCTTTAATGGCAAACAGAGACATTGTGTTTCAAAAATGGAGCAAGGAAGGAGCTGTCACTGACCAGTTAAATGACGCACTCTGCTTATGACTTCAGTGAACGAGACAAGCAGGTCAAAGAGACTAAGAAAAGTAAAGCCTCTGCCTGGCTTGGTGGTCCAAGCCTGGAATCACAGGGCTCAGGAGCCAGACGCAGGAAGATCATGAATTCAAGGAGTTCCTTGGTTAGATAGTGAGATCCTGGAATGAACGAGTGAACGAATGAAATGACTACACACATTTACTATTAATAGTAATAGCTAAAAGGAATCAGAGTTGTGACTTAAGAGTGACATTGATCCCATTAGAAATACTTAGAAAACTACTACGGCCTTGCAAAAGATGTGAAGCAGTTCGTTAAGAAAAAGGACAGCAGTCCTGTTGTCACAAAGATCCAAGAGATGCAGAAGTTCCTGGGGCTGGAGATGACAGGGAAGCTGGACTCCCCCACCATGGACATGATGCTCAAGCCCAGGTGTGGTGTCCCCGATGTTGGTGGCTTTACCACCTTCCCAGGTTCGCCCAAGTGGAGGAAGAACCACCTCACCTACAGGTAACGAGCGGGCCCAAGGTTTTCACACAGTGTTAGCGCTGTGTCAGAGGCATCACACACCACACACTGCCTTCTCCCCTTCTCTCGGCAGGATTGTGAATTATACGCCAGATTTACCGAAAGAGAGTGTGGACGCTGCCATTGAGAAAGCGTTGAAAGTCTGGGAGGCGGTGACCCCACTCACCTTCTCCAGGCTCTCTGAAGGAGAGGCTGACATAATGGTCTCCTTCGCAGCAGGAGGTAAAAAAACGCAAGAACTGCCTGAAACACACATTGCCCAGTGGTGTTCTACTGAAAATGTTACAAAGAGGCCCCAATTGCCATGTGTGTGTGTGTGTGTGTGTGTGTGTGTGTGTGTGTGTGTATATATATATATATATATATATGTATATGTATATGTCTTCTCCCTTTAGAACATGGAGACTTCATCCCTTTTGACGGGCCTGGAGAGGTCTTGGCTCATGCATACGCACCCGGGCCAGGGGTCAATGGAGACGCTCACTTTGACGATGACGAACAGTGGACAGAGGGCACAGCAGGTGAGTGCTCTGCCTCACAGAGTGACCTAGTTTCATTTCTTTTCATATTTGGGGAAATTTTCACAATCAGCCATACTAATGCTAGAATGTGTTCTGGATTCCAGTGGAATACATTTTTTAAAAAATCATGGCTTAGTGTGCTTTCAGAGACTAAAAAGCATTTATTTTCCTAATAATCAGCATAAAATATATCACTAAATGCTTGACCTGTCCAACTTCGATGTGATGGCTTTTGTTTTAGCCTACGTGTTGTTGTTATCCCTTAGAAACCTGCTCTTTCCCAGTGAGAGACAGAAAGGGAGTGTGTCTGGATGTGATGGGAGTTGAAGAGGAGCTGGGAGAAGCAGAGGGCATGGAAACTCTAATCAGAGCATGCTGTATGAGAAAAGAATCTGTTCTCAATGAAGGGAAAAACACTGAATTTTTAACAGTTGTGCATCTTGTGTGATCTACAGGCTACTATTACTACACTGCCTAGTGGTATCAAATTGTAGATATTCAGGCAGTACAATGGGGAACTTTATCAACTCCCATTGTTTCCCTTTTACTTTTCAAACCTGAAACCAAAATTAAACCTCAGAATTCTGAGATTTCTGTTTGTTTTGTGTGGTCAGTCTTATTAAGCTCACCTTGTTGTGACTTCTGCTTAATTGACTTTTTATCAGTTTCTGAAAGAGAAGAACTATCCCTGAAGTACAATGACCGAACAGTCTAGGCAGAAGACTTCTTAATTTCTTATCTTTGGGGATTGACTACGTTTTCACAAACGTGGCTGAAATAAATTGTATTGCTTTTGAGACTGAGCTGGATTCACAATTAACACATAAACTGATATCTGCTGAAAATAGAAATCCAGCTTTTTCGCTAAATAAAATTCATGTTTTATAGAATTAGCATTCAAAATGAGCATGCCCTCTGGCCCACAACATTCACAGAGAACATTTGGGAAAGTTCTGCCAGTCCTAATCACCTCTCCCATCCCGATCTCAGCACTGAAGGCATTATTTCACACAACTCTAATAAGAAGACCGTGGATACAGTTCGAGTCCAAGATCTTATTTTTGACAAACACTTAGGAATGTTATGTTTAAAACCAATTTTACAAACTCTGTGGTATCTCCATCCTTAGTCATCTTTTGGCACTTGGTATGTAAAAGGATGAAGATGTAAAATGATGTAGGCAAAATCCAATAGAAAAACAGGGTTTGGATTATTTAAGAGTCTTAGAATTGAGATGAATACCACCCTGAGATTAGCTAGCAGATACTGAAATTGTCAAATGCTAACCCCATGCTGGAATAGTTTTAACTTTTCCTGGACAAAAGAAAAGAGCTCTGATATGCTGATCAATAAGTAATAGTCTCCATTTCTAACAACAATGAGCGAGACCTGCTGTTCAGACAGTTTGAGGCCAGAGAGGGGACACTGGGTGAGTCTGAGGACTTCAGATTGATCTCAAGCACAAGTTTTAAAATATACTTGTTGCCAAGTGGAGGGTCAGTCTACTGCCCACTGAGACAGCAACCAAGGTGAGTACAAGTCTGTGTGTTTTCAGGGAGCAAATACATGCTGTGTCAGCTGGCCCACGTGACGTAGATGCAGCTCAGGGTTAGCAACTACTATGTATGGTTTCTCCCGTAGGCACCAACTTATTCCTGGTTGCTGCTCACGAACTTGGCCACTCCCTGGGTCTCTTCCACTCAGCCAAGCCTGAAGCGTTGATGTACCCTGTCTACAAGTCCCCCAGAGACCTGGCCAGCTTTCATCTCTCTCAAGACGATGTGGATGGCATTCAGTCTCTATACGGTGAGTGACTGCACAAAGGGGTCCCTGAGGTGCTGTGTGGCTACATAAGCCTCCGGGACAAGATTCAGTCCTTGAGGGTGTTTGGGAAGTGCAGAATTGACAGGCAGGCCACATTTCTCCTAACTGTGCCCCCTTTAACCTGTTCCCTTTAGGACCTCCCCCAGCATCCCCTGATGTCCCCGTGATACCCACCAAATCTAACTCTCTGGAACCTGACTCGTCACTGATGTGCAGTCCTGCTTTGTCCTTTGATGCAGTCAGCACCCTTCGGGGAGAATTCTTGTTCTTTAAAGACAGGTCAGATCAAGGAACCCTAAATTTCTATGCATTTTTGACAAAAAACGCTTAGAAAGGGCAATAATCAGGAAAACAATCGATATAAGCATTTTAAAGACAAACTCTGGAGTCTGGAATCTCTCAGATCTGCCATTGACCTTCCCCACATGTTTCCAAAATTGTCAAGTTTGGTTTTGAAGCCGGATAATTTGATTCTTGTCGCTGAGGTTTTGTCTCCCGATGTTCTAGGCACAGGCTGCTGTTTAGAGGGTAGAAACGGTCCTCAGAGGCAGAGTTTTATCTTTACTTTCTTTCAAACCGACACTAGGAGAAGTATCAAGTTATCGGTTCACACACTCCTCAATAAGTATGCTGGGAGAATCTGCATGAAAGTGAGCGGAGACGTTTTCCCCAGGTCTCTCCACACATAAGCCGTCTGGATATTCTGAGAGGCCCAGACTGGCTGGAAGCTGTCAGGCTCCTGCCTCTTCCCAAGAGCTGGGATTAGAGGCTGCGCCACCATTCCCCGACTTCAAGATCTCTTGAGTACCCTAGATTTTTCTGTGAATGTACAAGGATATATTTATACACCACACCCATGCACACACACACACCTCTCACTGTCCATCCTTTTGGGAAGTGTGGGTGATACTTTAATTACTAATTACACAGTTTCATGCGTGTTACATGTACTTAAAGCTTATGCTGAACTAGTTAGTTGACATGGTGGAGAACTCTGCTTTCACAGATATTGCTCTGGAAATCTGTGGCAGGAGGTCTGTTGCAGTCTTCCTTGGGGCGGGGAGAAGGAGAGAAGGAGGGGGGAGGGAGGGAGGGAGAGAGAGAGCTCGCTAGAGGATGAGAGGGCATACAGGAATTGGCTCTGCCGCAGGGGAATAATACGCTAAAGATAAAAGGCTGTTTCTCAAATGCTGTTTTTTTCTTTTACATCTATTTTTTAGGCACTTTTGGCGAAAATCTTTGAGGACCCCCGAGCCTGGCTTTTATCTGATCTCTTCATTTTGGCCCTCCCTCCCTTCCAGCATGGATGCTGCATATGAGGTTACTAGCAGAGACACTGTTTTCATATTTAAAGGTGATTATCCTACAACATTGCTTTGGCTTAGTGAAACAAGCCTTCTGGCAGGAAAGCCGAGCAGAATTTTACTTTAGTGTGTCGAATTCTGTGCAACCAAGGAATAGCCAAAGATAATAAAGAAACACCTAAAACCAATACTTGATTTGACTGGGCTGAAAAGCCCCTCATTTGACTGTTGCTCACTGCCCCCGGCCATCGTAGAGCTAAGGCCTAAATCTATTCACCACAAGAAGACACAGTGCTAAGATTGAATTTCTAAAATCGCACGACATCCTTAATGGACTTTTAACATGACTGCTGTTTCTGTTACTGCCTTGTTTTTGCACAGGGAATCAGTTCTGGGCTGTCCGAGGGCACGAGGAACAAGCAGGCTACCCTAAAAGCATCCAGACTTTGGGCCTCCCTGCAACTGTTGAGAGGATTGATGCTGCCGTTTCTGATAAGGAGAAGAAGAAGACTTACTTCTTTGTAGATGACAAATACTGGAGGTGAGGTGCTGTGAGGATGGTCTTGTGAAGAGACCGACTTGACAATTGCTTTCTCTCTCAGAAACACCTCCACCTGGCTCTCCTTTCTGGACGAGGACAGGGGTTTTGACAACTGTGGGGAGGGCTTGGAAACACAGGCGTTTCGTAAGGGTTCCTGTTTAGAGCATGCCATCCCCCCACCCCACCCCCACACCTCATGTAGAGCTGCCTTCTCATCTCTACCTGCTCAATCCCAAATACACTTCAGGATCAGGCTCAGTTCCCTCCACCCTCATGAAGTCTTTCTTTCTGAACTTCAAGTCCAACTGGCCTTTATGTCCTGACAAGGAGCCCACGCCTCGGTTTATTGCTCCTTTCCCAGGAGCTCTCATTGTCTCCGTATATGGACCTTGCCTCCCTCCCAAGGACTTCGGCTGAGCTCAGGATAACCTCTGCCCGGCTAGAAATGATGCACAATAGCCTACCAGTTTCTTGGTTTGCACTCATGACTCCTCGCAGGCTATCAGTCCAGATGCTGGGACATTGAGGCAGACCAACCATCCAGCGTGCGGGCATTGGTCAAAACCACACTTAACTATACTCTGCTTCTCATTCAGTCCCTTTTCTTAGGGGGCTTCCACAGAAAACTTCAATGTACAGGGTAGGGAAAGGCAGACAGCCTACTTACGGTGGTGAACTGGAAAGTGTGTTTTTCATTTTTTATATTCAACTCTTAAATTTTGTTTTATTATTTTATGTATATGAGCTGTGTGTTTGTGTATGTGTGTGTGTGTGTGTGTGTGTGTGTGTGTGTGTGGGCTCACGTGTATATCTTGGAGGTAGAAATACACACAGAATTCCACTAGAACTGGAGTTACAGATGGTTGTGAGTCACCATGTGAGTGCTGGGAGTCCTAACCCCGGGCCTTTGTAAAAGCAGACAGTACTCTTAGCAGCTGAACCATCACTCCAGCCCCAAATATTCCATTTCTTTTTATGAGGGAATGTCTGTGTGAGAATGTGTACATAGGCATGCAGGTGCCCACGGCAGCCAGGGGAGGAGACCACAGATCCTCCAATGCTGGAGTTACAGGCAGTTGGAAGTCACCTGACTGTGGATGGTGAGACAAGCTCGGGTCACAGGGAAGATGAGCAAACGTCCTGGTGACACTAGTGATGGTCATCGTATTTCTGACCAGCATCTCAATCCACACATAGGCATGTTTGTGCACTTATATGCATATGTGTACACACACACACACACACACACACACACACACACACACACACACACACACACACACAAGCTCGTGCCCTTGTGGCCGAAGGAAGATGAAGGTTCTCTTGTCCAGGCTTCAGAAGAACAAACAGTAACAGCATTGCTGTAGTAGGAGTTGTTGCGTCCCCAGGGCAGCCATGGTTTTAAGAGCTAAGTTTTACCTTATTGGAAACACATGGTGATAAGTAAGCTTGACATTTGTGCACGGAACTTGGAAGGGTCACCAGAGTTCCACAAGCTCACACGCTTGGGGACCGTGCCCTCCATGCACTGCTGAGCTGCGCTCCTTTTATTTGGTGCAGATTTGACGAGAAGAAACAATCCATGGAGCCCGGATTTCCCAGGGAGATAGCTGTGGACTTCCCAGGCGTGGACTCGAAGGTGGATGCGGTCTTTGAGGCCTTTGGTAAGGGGACACTTACTCTGTTGGTTGCGAGCCTTGAAATGCTCTGTAGTGTGAGAAGATTTCTAGTAACAAAGTTTTAAAAATCAGTACTCTCTGCTCTCCCAAGAGCTTCATCTCTTTTGCTTTTGTGGCAATCAGGGTTCTCCTTCAGGGGAGCCGTATGGCTTACGACGCTGACGAACACGGACTCTTCTGTTGCTCGCACAAGCGGAAGAGCGAAGTTCTGGCACGGCACCCTCACGCTGTGAGCGCTTGCCTTTCTTGATCCACGCTGGCACAAAGCTGCCCTCGGTGGTGGCATCCGGTTTAAGGCCGATTGGCCTTCTCCACCCTAGTCTCCACTACTCAGCTGCAGACTTTCTCTGTCTTTCCTGACTCGGTTAATGACTGACAACACTGGTTCCTTGTAAATACACATCTGCCCATGCACCGAAGCTTAAAAGAATTTTTTTCCTATGCAAGAGTAAGCTGGTGATCTTATGGACAGCAAGTGCCACATCTGCAGAGAGGGAGAGGGTGTGGTGATTAAAAATCAGTTTCCCTAGGGCCAGAAATAGCCCTTGGACGAGAGGATGATGAAGGGGAGCAGGAGGGCTGGGGGGGAAAGAAAAGAAATCACAGTTTCAAACAAGCAGGGATGTTTTTCTGACTGGAAACACAGGCTCAGTGCTGTCTCCTTCCCTCCCTAGCAAATACACTGAGACAAATATTCTAAACTTCAGCTGGCTTACCAGAAAGATGGAATTAGGTAGATTTGCTTCATGGAGCTGTTTCCCAACCAAGGTTTTAAAACAGTAGTTTTGTTAAATGCTTAACATTGTTCCTGGCACAGACTAAAAACTACAGAGACACTCTATTGTTTTGTTGTTGTTTTCTCATACGAGCAAGGATTTGAACACTCTAGGCAAGGGTTTGAACTCAGGACTTTAAACACTCTAGGCAAGGGTTTGAACTCAGGACTTTGAACACTCTAGGCAAATACCCTACCACTGAAGTCACATCCCTGATTCTATTCTCCACTTACCTCTTACTGAGTTGTTTATCTCCCCAAATTTTTCCTTAGAAGAAAGTAGCTCACTTTTCTCTCTTGTCTGCATGCAGGGTTTTTCTATTTCTTCAGTGGATCTTCGCAGCTGGAGTTTGACCCAAATGCAAAGAAGGTGACCCACGTGTTGCAGAGTAACAGTTGGTTTAATTGTTAGAAGAGGTTTGAGGAAGGCCTGGCGAGTTTTAACTGAAGTTGCTGGGCAGGCTCTTCCTCTTTGTGAACTGAGGTGGCTAGTCGCCCCCAGGACGTGCTATGGCAGAAACAGACGGACGCTGCGGATTTCACCAGCGAGCCCGAGTTGTCACAGGGCATTGTGAAGCACCGCTTAGCTTGTACGTTGTCACATGGAGAAAGTGAGGTGACTGCTGGGCAACGGGCAAGTGACTGTATCTATGTAGATGATTTGCTTTTATTTAATAAAGACGGTGCGTCACTTATTTAATCATGGACTTTTTTGTGTGCTGATTTCCGGAACAAGTACTCAGCGTCCTGGGCACAGATGGACTGGGCAATGCTCAGCTTGAGATGCTGGGCCACTGGAGGTAGATGATCACTGTCTCCACCACTGAGATTATTCATGAAGAAAATGTACCACTCGCTCACCCAACACACCCTACAAGCCCCACCTAGACTTCATATGCCTTTGTCATACCTAATAGAAAAAACTAGGGGTGAGTCTCATTATAGGGCTGGCTTGTAATAGCTGCAATGAATCCTACACCCAAGTAAACAATCCAGTAGTCTGAATGGCCCGTTTCACAGGTGAGGGAATCAAACCTATCCCTGCCTCAGCCATCAACTTCCCTCAAATGTGCCGTGTACACACATGAAAATATCATCTTGTGCTCACTTTATATCTGTGTGTGCCGTGAGGTGAATGTCCCTTTACAAAGGACAATTCTAAAACAGTTTCCTCATCCCTCAGCAGCACTTGAAGCTCAGTGCCCGAGTATGCAGTGGACGCTCACTCACCTTTAGACTATCCACCCACAGAAAATAATTTGTTAATCATGTTCTGTGTGGCCAGGGTTGTGCTGGACTGGAGACACAGAAACCTGAAAATATGCACACAGCTCCTGACTTCACTGGGGTTATTATAATTGTCATTAAAATCCAACAAAGATATGTAAGTCATCCCAAATATGAAGAAGCACTTACAATGTTATAAAAGAAACTTACAATGTTATAAAAGAAAACACTCTTTTGTGTCTACTTCTCGGAGCTCTTCTCGGAGCTGTGCACTTTCAGGAAGATATTTGATGCTGGTGGAACCCCAAAAGCAGAACCAGACTGTTGGTAAGTGAGAAGAGGGCCTTGATCACAGGCGGAAGAGAATTCTAAGCAGTGCTCTACAGAGACAGTCGGCATCAAGGAAGACTTTAGGACTTGGTGTGACCTGGTTCCTGGCCCCTTCGCATTCACTCCCTATCTTGACTCCACTCTGTAGATTTTACCTTCAGGCTGACCCTGAAAGGCTCCAGAATGACTTAGTGCCTATTGCCTTGGGAGTGTTTGGTCCTGGAAAGTTCAGTATTCCATGTTTACAGGAAGAGAGGTGTTTGAGCCCCAGGGTAGGAGGAAGGAAAGCAGATGCTAGGGATCTGGGGAGGAATGAGGGATAAATCAACAGAAGAGGTGATGGACATAGGTGAGAAGATGGGGACCCAGCATCTCACAGTCAGTTACACACACACACTGATACACACACTCATACACACTCACACACACTCACACACACACTCAACAACACACTGACACAGACACTCACACACTCAACAACACACTGACACACACACACTCAACACACACTGACACACACACTGACACACACTCAACACACACTCAACACACACTGACACACACACTGACACACACTCACACACACTCAACAACACACTGACACAGACACACTCACACACACTCAACACACTGACACACACTCACACACTGACACACACACTGACACACACAACACACATTCACACACTCACAATACACTGACACACACTCACACTGACACACAGTCACACACACACTCACACTGACACACAGTCACATACACACTCACACTGACACACAGTCACACACACACTCACACTGACACACACAGTTACACACACACACACACACCTCAAGAGAAGGGATGAATTCAATATTGAGGCTTTTTAAATAGTGTTGATTAGTCATTATACTTGGTATACAGCCCCCTGTCCTGAACATTGTGTTTTTTCTGTTTCACAGTGCTTGAAAAGTACATGAGAACTGACTTAAGAAATTCAATTTTTGATTAATTCGATTAATGGGAATTGTTTAAGTGTTTAGAAATACTACTGGGCTTTAAGTCTGTCTACATAAAAAATTTGCACTATTTGAAAACTCATCCACATTGAATTCACTATTGTGATATGAATACTGATTAAATGTCACTTTTAATATAATTCAGGTAGTTATTTTAATGCAATTCAAGTAATTGGTAATACTTTATATTTAACTATGTTAATCCATTAAATGTTAAAAATCAGTGCGAGAGATGGCACTTATGTTTATGTAAGTATGCCACGTAAGAAGCAGAATGACATGGCTAGAAATGAACATAGACCTTATTAGTTTTGAGACAAGATCTCACAATGTAGCACTTGCTGGCCTGAAGTTCACCGTGTGGACCAGGCTGACCATGCACTTAAGACAATCCTCTTGCTTCTGCCTTCCAAACAAGTGCTGACATGACAATGTTCACTGTCATACCTGGCCGAACTTGATGCCTTGAGAACACTTCAGCATTGACTTTCAGGAAATTATGATAACGAAAAACTATCAAGAAGTGTGCAAAAATACAGCCCCGAATGGACATGAGAAACTTCAAGCAAAAGTTTGGCATACAGGACTATTTCTATTTTAACAGAGAAAGGAAATATATACATATGTGTGTGTGTGTGAGCACGCGCGCGTGTGTGTGTGTGTGTGTGTGTGCTTCCCACTCTGATGCTTGCCTACTTTAGCTGACAGTGACTAATCTGTGTGTGAGCACGCGTGTGTGTGTGTGTGTGAGCACGCATGTGTGTGTGTGTGTGTGCGCGCGTGCGTGTGTGCTTCCCACTCTGATGCTTGCCTACTTTAGCTGACAGTGGCTAATCTGGAGAAGTGATTAACAACAAAGCTGGTAGAATAAGAAGAGGCTGACAGAGGTAAGCCAGAGCTAGAGAAAGACAGAGGAAGTGGTTGGTCCTCCGAAGCTAGTTGAGTTAAGAGGTAGGCCCAGTGATCCTAGAGTTGTTCAAACTGTGAGGCTGTGGATTACACCTCAGCTACAAACCATAAGAATTAAAGAGGCTGGTGTGACTAAGACTACGAAAAGCTGTGAACTCAGACTGCACCTAAGCGGCCCCCAGAGTCATCATTTTCACACCAGAATACCACTCCTGGCTCTGTAGCCTGTTTCTGTATATACAACTAGGACACATGGGACTTCAGCCAGTAGAAATACAGAAAATTTGAAATACGTCCCGTGTTCTGGTTAATATTCTAGAAATCAGTCTCTTAATAGCTCAAGAAAACACTACAAGACAAGAAAACCTATAGACAAGAAAATGGATTTAGGCTGGGAGTCCCTCTGTTGACTTGGCTCTGTTGACCAGGACCTCATTGCAGGGAATCTCTTAAGTGTTAGAAAACTCCCTGCGCTTTCTCCATAATTGCATCATAAACAAGTGAGTTAAGTTAGTGTTGTCCTCTCATAAGCTGCATCCAGGGCTGTAGACACTATCTAGCAAGCAGATAAAGCCACACTTAGGGTCATTTTGGTCATTTGGTCTTAGAAAAGTAAACAAACAAAAACAATCGCAAGCACAAGGCCCTTTTCAGACAACCACGTCTAGTAGGAAATATCCCTTCAATTTAAGTATCATTTAAGTATTTACTCATTCCTTATACATTAGATTATTCAATGATTATTTGTAAAAATCTAGGAAGTTGATGCAAAAAGTCCCAGTGGCAATTTGAGGACCTTCTGTAAGGAAATAACAGCAATTAGAGCATAGCTTCCAGGAAAGTAGGGAAGACTCTTCAGGCCAGAGGGCCAGGATGGTGACATGGAAGCTTGAAGAAGTTTATGGGACACCTAAAGTCTTCAGACCCTATTTCTGTTTGAAAATCCAATTTCTATGCCCAGAGCAGGCACACGCTTGCACTGCCACCACAAATACTTATGTTCAAATGACTCTGCCCCTTACCTGCTGTGACCTAGCACTTAGGGTCAGTGGGCCATTTATACCTAAAAGGAAACCTTATGTGACCATATATGGGGATGGATAGATGGATGATAGATAGATCAACAGAGTAGAACTATCTTTTCCTACATGCCACTCCCTAACAAAACACTATATGAATTCATCAATATTTAAAAGTTACTTCAGCACATGTAGTAGAAAATACAGAAGGAAGAGAAGAAGCAGCTCAAAAGGCTGGCTCCCTAAGTATAAAAAAATAAGACACAAGTTGAAATTCAAAGACTGGATTTACTATGGAAAACACAAACACTTTTGAGGCCTCTCACAAGGCACCCAGCATGAAACGACCAAGAAAATCACAGACTCATTTGCCTGTGTAGAAAGAGCTGGGAGTCAGATGGCACAGTTAGGCACGCCATTCTCCTCAGGGGCAACAGACTGAAGGGGTAATAGCCATGAAATTATATAGGGACTGGGGGAAGATTATCCTAGAAGAAGAGAAGCTAATGCCGCTAGAAATACACATAGGGTTTTAACTTACTTTCATCTTCCTGTAAACCATGTCAATTCTAGACATTGCTAAACGTCATTTAATTGAATCCCTCAGTTTATTAATTATTGTTCTCCAGTAATCACACACCGGTCCACAGCTTACCTGTGGACATAAAAGCTCTGCCATGAATAGCTAGCTGAGACTGGTTACTTACCAAACTTCATTCACAATTCTTTCATTGCTTTGGGAAGCAATTGAATAAAATGTTGCTTTAAGCTTCCAGTTTCCAACCCCTGTCTGCACCTGGACAGATCATGAAACATCTTCAGGTTTATGTTAATGGTTCTGGGATTGGACCAGGAAACAATGGTGACCTTGCTGAAGAAGGTGGGTCTTAGAGGCCACGGGCAAGGCACATCAGAGAGCTTCCATTTCTATCAGGGGACAGGGAGATGGCTTGGTGGGCAAAGGCACTTCCTGTGTGGGCCATGTGACCTCAGTTTGACCCCCATGAAAAGGTGGAAGGAGAGAGCCTTCCCCACAGGATGACATCTGGCCACACATGTAAGCCATGCTTCACACATAAACAATAGTAAAAACACTTTCTTCCTTCCTTCCTTTCATTCTTTCTTCCTTCCTTTCTTTCTTTTTCTTTTTTTGCTTTTAAAGACAGGGTTTTTCTGTGTAACAGCCCTGGATGTCCTGGAACTCACTCTGTAGACCAGGCTGGCCTCTAGCTCACAGAGATCCCCCTACTTCTACCTCAGAGCTCTGGGATTAAAGGCATGGTGCCACCATACCATGTACAAGTAAGTACATTTTCTAAAACTCATTTCAGTTCTTTTTTCAAGTAAAGGATAATAGTTTATAAATGTTTAAAAGCTTCTAAACTACATAACACATAGATTCTTGCAAGATCAAAGATTTTCTGAACCTCTTTGAGGACCACCCTGTATGCAACTGTTGCCTCCCTAAACCCTGATGGTCATATTATCCTCTCTCAAGTGAGTTTAGTAGCCCTATTTTCTAGGTCCTTGGTTGTTAAGACTTCATATTCTACCTCAAAATCCAGCTCTGGGGCACACACCCAGAGGTCTCCACACCCACTGCAGAGACACCTGCTCATCCATGTTCATTGCTGTTCTCTTCATAATAGCCAGGAACTGGACATAGCTTAGCTGCCCATCAACAGATGAACTGATATAGCATATTCATTCAAGGAATATTATCCAGTTGTTAAAAAATTACGGAATTCAATGGTAAATGGATAGAGTCAGAAAAAAGTCATCCTGAGTGAGATAGCCCAGACCCCAAAAGACAAATATGGCAGGTATTGGCTTATATGTGGATGTTATCTTTTAACACTATTTGAATAACTGCAGAGGTTAGGTATAGAGTAAGGAACTACTGGAGAAGGAAGGATCTCCCAAGGAAGGGGATAGAACATACAGTTAGAGATAAGCAGAAGGGATGCTGGATTGGGAGGATTAAACTTCGAGGGGGAGGAACTGCAAACAACAGGATGTTTGAGGAGTCACACAAAAACCTACCGCGTCAGAAGCCTCTTAAAGTATATATGTGTGTGAAAGAAATCTGAATGGAAACACCAAATAATGACAAAGTCAAAGCCTCAAGTAGACATCACTCGAATTCAAATGAAACCTCCAATGAGTGTCAAGAATGGGTTGCATCCAACTGAGTTGTTGTCAAAGGTGTCCCATAACCCCCCCCCCAACAACAACTCAGTCTGTTACCAAGGCTATTGGTTGCTCTCTACACGCTGATGTTTAGGCCCTATTGCTGAAGACAATACCTACACAACTCACTAAACACAGAGATGCTGAGCCTTCCGAGAGCCTTCACTCCTACTGACTGGTGTTCATGGTGCTAGAAGGTACCCTGCGTACTACCAGAGGAGAAAGGTAAACACCAACCCAGCTGCAAGCCCTGTGGTCCACAGTCATGGCCTGTTTGCATGATAGGCTGGTATAATAGTGCACAAACACTGTGGGGTAGCCAGTAACTATCTGATTGGGTTTAGTGCCAGCTCCAAGAGCTGGAACCCATGCCTGACACTGCTCGTGGGACTAAATAGGCCATGGACCTAGGGGAAAACCAAATACTACTGTTCTGCCAAAGGAGCAAAGCAGTAAAATTCCTAATGATACTCTGCTATTTCCATAGGTCGGTGTCTGGTTCGGTCATCATCGGAGAAACTTTACCTCTCAGTAGATAGGACCAAATGCAGAGATGGATAAAACGGACAAAATGCAGAGGATGAGAGGCTTTGAAACACGTAGTTCTAACTGGGATGGCGCCATCAAATCCCTCCCCTCAAGGCTCAGGGGACTATGCGGAAGAGGAAGCAGAAAGACTGTGGAGGCCAGAGGGGATGGATGACACCGAGGAAACAATGTCCTCCGGTCACAGCAGGACTGACGCACGCATGGACTCACAGGGACTGATAGCACGCTCAGGACCTTCACAGGTCCAAAACAGATGGGGTCCAGTGATGGCATGGAGAAGTAGACACAAGCTCTCGTCACCAACCAAGAAACTACATCCAGTTGATAACTGCTCCAGAAGGAAAAGCTAGTTTCTCCAAGGAAGTCTCGCTGGGAGCACAAACCACACTTAAGGGCAGGTCCCATGCCCAGCAGTAGATGACAAACACAAAAGGAACTCGATAGTACCTTCCTGGTCTTCTGCTTATACGTATTATGGTCTCCGCTTTTATATTTTTATGGTGTGCGTGTGTGTATGTGTGTGCATGTGTGTGGTATGTGTGTGTATGTATGTGTATGTGTATGTGAGTGTGTGTATGTGTGTGTGTATGTGTGTGTGATGTCTCTTGCTATTTCTTTTTCTTTCTTCTTGTTTGTTAGTTTGCTCATTTTGTTTCATCCGTGTTTGTCTTTTCGTTTTCTGTCTGTTATTTTAAGAGACGAAGAAAGAGAGTTGGAGTTGGAAGGCTGGGGTGGTGGGGAAAACAAGAACCCATGTTCAGAATATATGGTATGAAAATAACTGTTTTACATAGACTGTAAAATAAAAAAGCATTCGCGGAGTGCCGGCCCCCGGAACTTCTGCAGTGTACTCTGCACCTCTCTTCTGATGTCTGTGTTCACTGCCTTCCTTGCCGAGGCTACAGTCGCTCTGCGGAAGTCTTTCCATGCCCACCTGCCCTCCATCTGCTGCCCACAGGAGGTCTCTGTCTGTGGGAGACTTCTTCCCAGCTCCATCCCCTGAGGCTTGACTCCCATATCACTCCTCTGAGATGAGGGGGCTCTGGATAAATGACCAGAGAGGAAATGAATGCTTCACATCAGCACGAGATCTACCAAAGCTGTGCTTATGAATAAGATATTCGCTGTGCAGAGAGAACAGACATGCACACGGTGAGGCTGTCCTGAGTACTCTGACTCTGGAACCAAGGGAAGGTGGGTGACGCCGTGCGGGCTGAAGTAAGGGAGGGGAGGTCAGTGCTTCTCCAAGTACACTCGGGAGTAGAGGCACCTACAGAGGCAGACCACCTTGTCTCTGTGATGGGGACACATGCCAGAGTCAGCACCCACTTCAATTTTGTATGGAATGTGAGTCTTTGAGTGCATGCCTTTCAGTGTGCAGTGATACGTGTATTTAGTCATGCAAGAAAGGCTCTGTGACTTTCTCAATGGATGAACACATAAATTTGTGCATGAATGTGTGTGTGTATGTAGTGTAAACACATGTCTCCCGCTAAATTATGCACACATACACAGGTATATACTCACCACACACATACCATACACACACATTACACACACCACACACATACACACATACCACATACATACCACACACGGACCATACACACACATACCACATACACCATACACACACATACCACACATAGCACACACACAACACATACCATACACACACATCACACACACCACATACATACACATATACCACACACATACCATACCTACCACACACACAATACATACACACCATACACACACATACCACACACCACACACCACACATGCCATACACACACATACCACACATCATACATACACATGGTACATATACCATATACACATATTACACATACTACACAATACACATATAACACACACCACACCCACCCACCACATATAACACACTATACACACACCATACACACAGACCACACACCACACACACACATACACACACGTGCACACACACATGTACACACACACACACACACGCACACGCAGGACCTTGGAGTATGCTGTTGGAGCATGCTGTGCCTATGTGTTTAACAGGCTTGGCCTTTTCTAAAATAAGATGGATATGAATTGGCGAAAACAACCATTTAATGGTGAAGGTTATCTCTTTCACAAATGTCCTCTTCGATGGATTACTGGGATTATCGCACCAAGCCAGCCCAAACAATTTGCTAGGGGTCATAGTTTCTGATTTCCCAGTCTCTTCACTGCGGATGAAGAGGAGGCCGTGAGTCATGAGTCACACAGCCTCTGGCTTTCTAGAAGTGTGAGAAGTCCCTATAAAAAGATGGAGTTTCCTGCATGGGTTACTGAAGCAGCAGGGAGGGAGCACTGTGGGCTGCCCAGCGGACAGGGACACCATGCCTAGCCTTCCTTTGCTGTTGCTTCTTTGGGGCACCAGCTCTTATGCCTTCCCTGTGTTTCAAGACGGACAGCGGCAAGATGTGGAGACTGCCTGGGTAAATGGGTGCGGCAGGAATTCAAGTCTCTTCGTCCTTCTGTTCTAGAGTGATGGCAGTTATGGGTGGATTTTCTCCTACGAGATATGGTGTTCATCAGAAACGGGACCTTCTCAAAAAGTCTAGATACTCCTTTCTGGTTGGAGGGGAGGGAACCCAAGGAAGGAGAGGCAGATCCCTCTAAAATGTGCATTTCAAAAGAGTGCAAACCTCACCTACAAATCTTGTTCTACCACAGGCTTCCGTATTCTCAGTGCTCAATGGTGGGAGATCTCTGCTCAGCAGTAATGAAGGAAGTGAGGGCAGTGAAAGTAATTCTCTAGTTTGGCTGAAACTTCAGGATGTCAGTTTTTTTTAAAGGAGAACCGGTTTCCATTTAGTGCTTCAGTAACTTTAACTATTTACGTGTTTTAATGAAATGTATGAGTGTGCCATGTCTCCGCCAACCTCAGGTAGAGGTCAACACTGGTCTTCAGACCTCCTGAGCCTGGGTTCTCTGCAGGCAGCAAATGCGCTTAACTGCTGAGCCATGTCTCCAGACCTAGTGGTTCATTAATTTTATGTTTTTCAGAAATACCTGGAAAACTACTACAACTTGAACAAAGAGACAGCAGCTAGTGACCCAAGTGTTAAGGAGTTGATGGCTAGAAAGCTGAAGCAAATGCAGCAAATATTTGGGCTGAAGGTGACTGGAAAGTCAGACCCTGAAACCCTCAGAGCGATGAGGAAACCCAGGTGTGGGGTACCTGATGCGACACCATACGCTATTACTTACGACAACCCACGCTGGACAAAAACGAATCTGACATACAGGTAACGAGACCCGCGTCAGAATCAAAACGGGGTCATCCTCCGCCATTTGAGTAGAAGGAAGCAAGACCCAACGTGTCTCCATCTTACTTTTTCCTTAGCATTTTAAACTACACACCGTATTTGTCAAGAGCAGTTGTGGAAGAGTCCATCGAGAAGGCCTTCCAAGTCTGGAGTAGTGTGACACCACTAACGTTCTCCAGGGTCTATGACGAGGAGGGGGACATCGAGCTGGCTTTCTACAGAGGAGGTAAGCTCTTTATCCTCACCTGCCCCTCACCCTCCTCTGTTTTGCAGGGCAGGTGCTTGCTGAAGAGAGTTATTCAGTTTATGGGTGGTGGAGTCAAATAACATCACATTGCATGGAAGTCTGTTGACTGCTCAGCAAAGTTCTGAGCTAACCAACAACAGAGCCAAATGAGCCTTTTATTGAATTTTGTTTCTTGCAGACCATGACGACAATAACCCCTTTGACGGACCTAACTACAGCCTTGCTCACGCTTTCCAGCCAGGCCCAAGGATTGGGGGCGATGTTCATTTCGATCTTGATGAAAGGTGGACCGACACCAGTGAGAGTAAGTCTTCTGATGCTGCTCCTCTCGATTCCCTTCCTAGCTCATTGCGTGCTGATCGATCTGATGGCTAGAATGCATTAGCAGAAGTAGGTGGCCTATTATCACTCAGAGAACCAGTGGCGCACGGAGAAGCGAGAAACAGGAGTGATTTCTGATCATGTATCGTCTCCCTGGTGGCAGAAAGGTCACTCTAAAACTTCACAAGAAACTCTGAGGGCTGGTGAGATGCAGCTCCTGAAATTCAGAGTTTGATTCCTTGGAAGGAGAAACTGTATCCTCTGAGTTGTTCTCTGCCTTTCACACAGGCATCCTCTGTGTACTCTGTGCTTGCACATGAGCGATGCATGCACACACACACATGCACACGCATGCATGCACGCACATACACACACACACACACACACACAATAAGTAAATGTAAACAACCTTTCTTTGAAGAAGAAAGAAAATGTTGAAGGCTTTAACGTTTTACTTATGTACCTGGAATATTTTTTTACAAGTAGAGGTAACAAACTTAACAAATTTGGTATTGAACTTGGAAAACTGAATGAAGAAAAAAATAGTCTGTGTTTTCCAATTTTTCCAGCACTAATCATTTACCAGATTTGGAAATAAAAAAATCTGTGCGTTGATGAGCTTGAGAGTACTTTCCCAGAAAGTGTGCATCTTTGTATGAACTATTATGCAAACTGTTAGAGCCTCATTGCCCCTCTGCAAAGGAACTCATCCCAGCTCATTGTTAACACGAACTCATGTGAGCTGGGCTTTAGATCAGTGAGATTTCTATTGTACCAGTATAATTCTAGAGTGTAGGCTTGACTGTGTGTGCATGCTCCGACCATCAGAAAAAGGCTGTATATATATATATATATGTGTGTGTGTGTGTGTGTGTGTGTGTGTATTTCAAAAGGGACTAAGAGGATATAATATTCATCCTGGAAGATTATTTCCTTACTAAACAATATAATTTTTAGTAATTAGAAACTGATCTTTGTCCTTCCAGATTTCAACTTGTTCTATGTTGCAACTCATGAATTGGGTCACTCCCTTGGCCTCACTCATTCTTCCGATATAGGGGCACTAATGTTCCCCAGCTATACATGGTACACTGATGACTTTGTGCTAAACCAGGACGATATTAATCGCATCCAGGCTTTATATGGTGAGTGAAGCCGCCACTAGCTGTAGAAGGCGCTTTCATTCTTCAGGTAGGCTTCTGGAACCGAAGGAACTAACTCCATGTCTCTGATATTCTTCAGGACCTTCCCCAAATCCCGTCCAGCCCACAGGTGCAACAACCCCACAACCGTGTGATAGTGATCTAACCTTTGATGCTATAACTACATTTCGGGGAGAGGTGATGTTCTTTAAAGGCAGGTAAGATCTTTGGTTTTCACTGGGCTTTATATTCACTGTTGCAGGCCACCAACATGGCTCATGCATTAACCTACAAGTGTTTGTAATTATGTGGTAACGATTGATTATGTTTCTTTTCTTTCTACAACTTATAATGACTAGCTCCACACGGATTAGGTCAGTTGACTGAGTAAAATCACCACTGTAGTGAAAACACATTAATCTAGTGTCATTTTATGGATCTGAAAATCAGGCAGGGAAGGAAAGAGAGGCCCTCTGGGGACACAGAGCAGATACCAGTCTCCTAGCCCTTATCCAGAGCTCTTTCTGAGCTCCCAGTCTGTGCGCTGATGAGCATTATTTATATGATTCGAAGCATAACAAGATGTTCATAGACATATGTATTATTTTTATGTTTGAGATTATAACATAATTGCATCCTTTTGCCATTCCCTTTCCTCCCCAATACCTCCCCACACCCCCTCCTTGCTCTCTTTCAAATTCATAGCCTCTTCCTTCATTAGCCGTTTTTACGTGCATCTATGTGTATACATATGTAAACCCCTAAATATAATCTGCTCGCTCTGTATCTTGTTACTTGTATGTATTTTTAGGGCTGATCATTCAGTACTGGATAATCAATTGGTGTGCTCTTCCTTGGGGAAGACTATTCCTCTTGTTCTTGGCATTTCTTAGTTGCCTGTAGCTCTTTGTGTAGGACTGAGGCCTTGTGGGCTTTCCTAACCCACTTCGGAAGCTCTGTTGCTGTCCTTACTCAGCTGGTGTTTAGGCAGTCAAGTTGAGACGTTTCAGGTGTACTTCCAACATTACTAGGAGACACAGTGCCGCGGCAAACTCCCACTCATCTCTATCCCACTCGCTCAATGCTCCCTGAGCCTCAGGTATGGGAGTGTTCTGTTGATGTATCCACTGGTACTGAACTCCACAACCTTACATTTTCATTGGATGTGGTTCTCTGTAGCGGGCTCTGTATGTTGCAAGAAGAAGTTTCCTTGTTGAGGGCTAAACACTACACTTATCTGTGGCCATAAAGACAAATATTTAGAATGAAGTTAGGGATTATGATAGTCTAGTAAAGTGGTTATTATAGATTTTCCTCCAAGATCCATGACACCACTATGCCTGGCACAGTTCGCCTCTAAAAGAGCAGGTCTGAAGTACAATTAGAGAGCTGTTGGTCACTACTGCACCCTTAAGGGTATAGTGCCATGCTGGTCGTTACTGTGGGTTCATAAATGCCACAGCTGGATAGAACTCCTGTCAGCCTCTCACCTTTGGGAGCTTGCACGGCATTTTCTGGAATCATGATAGCTCAGGGAGAAGGCTTTCAGGTTAGTGTGTGTGAAGTGCATGGTGTCTTCAGCAATAGGGATATTATCTTCCACCTCTGGGGGCAACTGAGGATAATGGCAATAGCCTATAATGTCAGGGTTGTCTGAGACTCAGAAGAACTCAGAAGAAGGATTCTCATACCTGGTGTTGGGTTTTTTGGTTTTTTTTTAGTTAGGTGGTCTGAATCCTTGTTACATTTTCAGACACCCCTACTTTTTTTTACCGTTCTCCTTCTTTCTTCTGTATTTATCTCCCTAATTAGAGCTACCCTTTACCCACTCTTTTTCTGATCAAATCACTTGTCCCCTACCATTCTTCTCTTTATTGCTCCCCAACTCTTCTACCCTACTAATGGTCCCTTTTTATTTTACTAGTTTCTGTAGTTACTCCACGATGTTTACTCTCCTCTGATGATTTGGAGCTAGGAGCCTCCAATGACAGAGAATGTGTGCTGGTTGTCGTCCTGGGTCTGGGATTCTTCACTCAATATGATGTTTCTAGTTCCATCTATTTATCTGCAAAGTTCACAACTTCATTTTTCTTTACAGATAAGAATACTCATATATATGTATATATAAAATACTCATATATATGCATATATATGTATATTCAATATCCATTCCTTCAGTTGAAGGACATTTAGGTTGCTTCCATTTCTTAACAAAACAGCAATGAACATGGATGAGCAAGTATCTATGGGCATATGCCAAGGAGTGATACGGCAGGTTTATATTTATTTGTTTCAGAATTCTTCACACCGATTTCCCTAGTGGCTTTGCCAGTTTGCAGTTCCGACAAACAGTGAATGAGGGTTATCATTTGTAATTATACCTACATTCTGTTTTTAAGTATTTCATCAAGGATTTTTGAGTCTATGTTCATCAGGGGTATTGGTCTATAATTTTTTTTTGTGTGTATGTCTTACCTGGGTTGGGTATTAGAGAATAGTAATGGCTTCATAGAAGGAATGTGGGTCGGTTCCTTCTGCTTTTGTTAATAGTTTTAAAAGGATTGGCTGTAGATATTCTCTGAATGTCTGATAGAATTCTGATGTGAATCCAACTGGCCCTGGACTTTCTTTTTTTAATTTTCCTGCTTGGAGGCTTTTTATTACTACGTTGTCTCCTCATTTGTCATGAATCTGTTTAGATACCTGACGTCTTCTAGGTTTAATTTTGGTGATTTGACTGGATCTAGAAATTAATCCAGTTCTTTTAGGTTTTTCTTTTTAGCTTAATAGAGTGCATTTTAAAAATATTCCCTTTTAATATTCTGAATTTCTTTACTATCTATGGTAATGTTTTCTGTTCTATTCTGGTTCCTTTAATTTAGGTCTTCTCTTACTTTAGTTGGGCCAAGAGGCTACCACTCTTGTCTATCTTCTCATAGACGCAACTCTTAGATTCCTTGATTCTTTATATTATTTTGTTTCTATTTCATTGATTTATGATCTGATTTTATTATATTTTGCCGTCAACTAGATTTGTATTTAGTTTGCTTATGTTTTCCCAAGTTTTTGAGTTGCATCATTTATCTGCACTCTTTCTGATTTTTAATCTTAATATAGGCATTTTGAGCTATAAATTTTTCCCTTTAAGACTGCTTCCAGCATGTTGCAGAGCTACTGTTGTGTTTGGTTCTGCTTTCTTTAGTTCCAGGGATTTTTTATGTCTTCCTTGAGTTCTTCTTTGACTCATTCATCATTCAACAATGAGTTATTTAATCTCCATGAGTCTGTGTACTTCCTAGTATTTGTGTGCTGTCATTTTGAAGTTTTATTGCTCTATGATCAAATAGGATGCAAGGAGTTGTTTAAATCTTTTTTAATTGTGAAGATTTTCTGTGCTCCAGGATGTGGTCTATTTCAGAATAGCTCCCATGTACTACTGAGTATGTCTTGTATTCCTTGATCTTTGGATGGAACATTTTGTAGATACCTGTTAAGTCCATTTGACACATGATAGAAATTAATTATGATGTTTCTGTTTTATTTTTGGTCCAGATGACCTGTCTATTGGATAAAACAGCATTTTGAAACCATCTATTAATGGATAGATTTTACTTTGTGTCTTTAAATCAAGTTTTACATTTAAAAAAATGAAATTGGGTAAACCAGAATTCCTGCGTAAATTCTTAGAATTGAAGCGTCTTCTTGGTTAGATAGTCTCTTGATTAGAGTAAAGTGTCTCTCTTTGTATCTTCTGATTAGTTTTAGTTTGAAGTCTATTTTGTCAGGCATTAGGATACTCACACCTGCTTGCTTCCTGGCCCATTTGATAGGAGTATTTTTATCCATCATTTTACTCTACAAAGATGCTTATCTTTAAAGCTAAGAAGTATTTCTTGTAGACAGCAGATGGATTTTGGTTTTTTTTGATCCATTCAGTCAGCCCATGTCTTTTGATTGAGAAACTAGGGTCACTGATATTTAGAGCTATTATTGAAATATGTGTGTTAATGGTGCTTATGATGTTAATTCTTGTTGTTGTTGCTGTGTTCTCAATGATACTGTGTGCATTAGTAATTATGGCATCATATTTTTTCTGTAGTCTCTCTTCAGTTCTAAATATTGTTTACTGTATTTTCTTTAGATTTGACCTGTTGAATAGAAAAAAATTAGGTTGTTAATATTGTGGACAGATTTTCTTGCTCCTTCAGTTATGATGGGTAGTTCTGTTGGGTATATTAGTCTGCACTAGCTGTCATGGTTTTTAGAATTCGGAATGCATTGCTTCAGGCTCTTGTGGCTTTGAAAGTTTCCACTGAGAAATCTATTATCTAATGGGTTCCCTTTACATGTGACTTGTCCTTTTTCTCTTGCAACTTTCAGCACACTTTCTTTGATATGTGCACTTAGCGTTTTAACTATGACATACTGTGGGTATTTTCTTTTTCTGGTCTTTTTGTATCTGCATGGGCAGGTTTTTCTTTGGTTTGGGAACGTTTTCTTCTGTGATCTTGTTGAAGATCTAGTCTATGCTGTTGACTTGGGGTTCTCCTTCCTATCTAGGCCTGTGATTTATTTGAAGGCTTGCTGTTTTTCATGGTGCCCCACATTTCCTGAGTGTTCCTTTCCTAGGTGTATTTTTGTAATGTGTCATATTCATTGCTTATTTGTTCTAGATCTTCTCCTTTATCTCTGAGTCCTCATACCCTAGCTTCTGCTTGATTCATTAAAATTGTCAGGCCTTCCTTTGCATTTTCTAGTTGAGTTTGGATTTTCAATTCCATCTTCATTTCAGCTTGAGTTCCTTTCAATATTTTTATCACCTTATTGAATCCCATTATTAAGTCTTGGATTGTCTTTGCCTTTTCCATCAACTTTATGTTTGTATTTTCCGGGGTATCACTCAGGCATTTATTCTCTTTAAGCTCTTTATCTTTGATTTAATTGAGTCATTTCTTTGTAACTTCTTTAAACTTCTTTTATTCTTCAATGAAGTTATGATTGTTCTTTTAAATTCTGTGCCTTCGGGTTAATCTGGGATATTCTTACTATCAAACATTTCTACAGGACTGGTAGCTTTTGAAGAGAAGATGTAGGTTTGAGCTGTCATTTTCTATGGTTGGTATATTTTCAACAGGGTCTGGGAATGTGAGCATCGTTTGACAGTTCTAAATCTGATGTGGCCAGAGCAGGTGAGAGAGAAGAGATACTCGGGGATGACAACCACCACTCAGTACAGGATACTGTGCTGCATTTGGTCACATGCCACAGACAGGTCCTCATAGGTCACCAAAGCTATTGCATTTTGAAGGCTTATACAATATTGTTAATCACAGTCAAGACAAAAATCAAACTGTACTAGAACCGACAATAATAGAAATCAACTATTGTTTGTCATCATCTTCACTGAAATTTGTTGATACCGAGGCTCAAACCCAGGGCTTTACACATGTCAGACCAGAGCTACCACTGAGCTGTATCCCCAGTCCTGTCTTCACTGCCTTTTATTCCTTATATTGTGTCCAGATGATATACTACTTTCAATTTTAAGATTTGCCGCAGCATAAATATTTCTGTCAAGAGACAAGCATATTGAACAGAAACCTTCATGCCCAGGCTCTTTTGGATAGATGGTAGACATTTGCTGACAGCAGCACTCCAGTGAAAATGGAGCAGAGACTGCTGGGAGACTCACTGACAACTGTGCTCTCTCTTCCTTTCAAATCAGGTTCTACATTCGTGTAGCCCGATTCTTGCCAGAACCTGAGCTCAATTTGATAGGTATACTCTGGCCAAATCTGCCAGGTAAACTTGATGCTGCTTATGAAGCTAGTATAATAGATGAAGTCCGCTTTTTCAAAGGTAATGTTTCTGATTGTTTCTCTGTTTTATAAATGAAATTTTCATCTAGCTTGGAGTTAGATAAAATGGTTAGCTGTATTCACTGAGCGTGCTTCTGAAAATCTAAGTTTCATGAAGTAAGTTAATAGGAGCCCACTGGCTTAGTTAAAAGTTGTATTATATATTTAGCATCATTTTAATTAAAAAGTAAATGACTGCAGATATAACTCTTTAGGCTTGCAAACAATCACTGTGTTTTAAACTTCCTTCATATCACTGGGAGTGGTCAGAAATAAAGCTGAGAGACATGAGTCAGTCCTAGAAAGGGTGACACAGAACACTTTTGTGTATGCAGTTTCCTAGACCCCGTTTTAATGTGAGCCATCCCCTTGAAAGAGAGGCAGACAAGGCACTGCTGACTTGGTTTCTCCTGGAAAGATATACCATATTCCTCTGACTCTCATCCCAAGGCTCTTTTCTCAACACCAGGCTGCATGGTGGTGAATGAAATCAGTTGTGTTCCCAGTACCCTTGTCCTGATGACATCTTGCCTCAAAAAACAAAAGGGATTCTCAAGTCTCACTGCAAACCTTCCTTGAGAGACTGTAAATTTTACCAAGTTTTCCAGGCAACTCATAGATGAATGTATGAGAAAATCAAAGTCACTGTGGATGGAATCCAGTGAGTCTGTGTGACTCAATGAGTTCAAAGAGTCTAGCACTTCTGACTTGAAGACCATGTCAGACACATGTGCTTTTACCACCATGTTTGGTATAGTGTAACCATGGAGACGCGTGGTACAGTTGCACACTCACACAAAGGAGAGAATGCAGTTCAGACTGGAACAACACGTCTCCAGCCTTTATTATGTGAAATTAAATAGAAGTTCACATACACAGCATTTCAAGACACCATTTCAAGTGGGCTAAAATAAGCATGTTTGTGAACAAGAGTGATCTTGCCTTCAAAACAGATCAATTTTCTATGATATACTTTTTAAAAATGCCATTGAACTTTGTTACCATTGAGGTAACCTAGAACTTCTAATTGTTTGAGTATCTGGCTTTGGAAAGGAACTTCAAATGAAATAGGGTGGAAAAGATAACTTTCAAAGCTTGTTACAGAATAGAATGACCTAGAAAGAAAAAAAAACAGATAAACCAGGCTTGGTGGCTCATACCTTTATTCCTATCATTTAAAAGGCTAAGGCAGGAGGATTGCTGCAAATTGGAGGTCAAGCATAGTTTCATAGTGAATTCTAGACCAGACTACATTATAGTGTGAGATTCTGTCTCAAAAACACAAGAATCAATCAAACAAACAAAAAATAAACTAATTTAATCAGTTTGAAATTGGATCCCAGTATTAGCATTTAACACAGAACATTTTCCCTGGATGGTTGCAGTCTGTAGCTAGGGTACCACTCTAGCCTGTGAGGCTTAGCTGGAAATGTAGACAAAGAAGTTCATCTGTGGCTTTTGATTGGCAGGCAATAGGGTGTGGGCTGTCCGTACGCAGAGTGTCCTGAGAGGATTCCCAGTGGACATCCAGAGCTTCTTTGGCTTCCCCAGCAGTGTGACACACATTGATGCGGCTGTCAGTGAGGAATACAGTGAAAAGACATACTTCTTTGTTGATGACATGTACTGGAGGTAAAGACTGAAATCCAAATAATGTTAGGGTGACAGTTGTTTGAATACAGACATGGTCTTGGCCAATTGCCTTTTTTGTGAATGGTTGTAGTCACTGACCATTCATTAGTCTGTGGGCTGACAGGGAATCCAGTGAGTTTATGACACTGTTTGGGGCTGTGAAAAGGTAAGACAGTAAGGGCATCCAACTTCTTAAACTGCTTTGGCCTAAACTTAACCATTCACATAGCATTTTACCTTAAGAGAGTATCTGTGTAGTTCACTGGATTTCAGAAGGACCTTATGCATGTTTTGACACACCCAACATTCAACTTTCCTTCCCTCACCCAATTCACTCTTCTCTAATTTCAAGAATTAAAAATTTGTATGCAATCCATGCTGATGTGTTTTCCATAAATAGTGTAAGCAATCTGAATGTTTGGTCAAAGGTCCTGATAGTTCTAACCACTTTTTGATCAGGTATGATGAACGTAGACGGTCCATGGATCCAGGTTATCCAAAATTAATATCAGAGGGCTTCCCTGGAGTTGGCAATAAAGTTGATGATGTTTTCGAGAAAAATGGTAAGTGTATAAATGTATTTTCTTCATTTGTGACAATACTAAAAGTAATAGTATTGTTCTAGGATAACCAAGACAGAGAAAGCCTGTCTCAAAAAAAAACACAAAAAATAAATGTAAATTAAAATACAAATGTTAAAAATATATATACTGAAGTCATGCAGTACTCAGGTTTTAGTTAAAATCTGGAAACTACATGTATAATATAATAAATATATTTCATTGCATTTCTAGGGTATTTCTATTTCTTTCGTGAAACAACTCAATACAGATTTAACCTTCAAACAAAAAGGGTTGATGCTATCCGGGATTCTAACACCTGGTTCAACTGCCAAAGATTCTAGTGGCCTGTTCCCAGTCAATGAAAATGCATTTCTCATGATGTAAAAGAAGATATTTTTCTGAAGAGTCAAGCATTTTTATATTTATTTATCTTCTAGAATTGTTGGTACACTTGTATTTATATTTTGCCTTGCATATCTTATAGCTCATATTTTATATATTTTATATCTCATCTTGCATATTTTGGCTGACAATAGTTATGAACTAAAACAGTTTAGTGCCACAATTGACAGCCCAAAAAGATCGAGTCATTGAAGGAGGCTGTTTGTGTGTGTCTCTGACATTACCCCTAGGCCTCTCCTTTCAAGAGAGGAGGGTCAGCAGACAAACTCTCCCAGAAGAAAAGCGGTTCTTGAACACATGAATCACTCTACATGAGAAAAAGCCATTGGTGCTTTGGGTCTGTTTTTTTAAAACATCTTACAGCCCCGGCTGGCATTGTACTCACACCTCTTCTAACGCTGACACCCAAATGCTGGGTTACGAGCGTGCCTGTCATGCCCAGCTAAGAGTTTACTTGTACAAAATAAAGATTTGATACTTAAAACAAAGCTACTTTTGTCTCTACTGCTTTATAAGCCTTCTGTTTCATTATGCTGTCGCTACCTGATTATAAAGCCTCACTTATAAATGCTATTTCTTTCAAATTTGAAATGGAAAACAATATGAAACCTACTCATGAGAAAATTAGTCTATCCAAATTTTTCGAATTTCTACACTTTTGTGGAGCTCGTCTACAGCAGGTGTGCCTCACATAAGCACAGGCATCATGGCACCTAGTCCTTCTTAAGTCTCATCAGGTACGAAGGCTCAGAGTGGGTGCCAAACACTGGGCCATGATGTACCCCACAGGACTACGAGGCTGGACAAGAAAGGAGTTATTGAAATGGGCACCTGTAACTTGGGACTAGGTATTCCAAAAGGAATCCAGGAGCTGTCCCCAAGTGCTGTTCACCTGGCGTCTCACATCGTGCACACGTGACGTCCCACAGTATACGGTGGAAAGACCAAAACTTCTGTCTCACAGTGTTGAGTTAGCAGCCGGAAGGTGCAGGGAGACGGGAGCTTTATTACACGGAAATGAAGCGCCCTGCACAAGACTCTGGGCCTGAGGAAGGCCCAGAGGGCAGTTTCCCCTAAGACTATAAGGTATGTATTAGAAAAGGGACACATCGGTGTCTGAGCGTGTCCATATTGTGGAGGTCAAACAGTGTCTTAGGGTTTCTGCTGCTATGAAGGCACACCATGACCACTGCAACTCTCCTAAAGGGATAATGTTCCACTGGGGGTGGCTTACAGTTTCCAAGGTGTAGTCCATTATCGTCATGACGGGACATAGCTGCACGCAGGCAGACCTGGTGCCGGAGAAGAAGCAGAGAGATCCACATCTTAATCTGCAGGCAGCAGAAGGAAACGGTGTCACATTGACTAGACTTGAGCTTGTAAGACCCCAAAGCCTGCCTCCACAGTGACACACTGCCTCCAACAAGGCCACACCTCCTAATAGTGCCTCTCCCTATGGGCTGAGCATCCACACGAATGAGTTTGTTGGGGCCATTCCTATTCAGACCACCACAGACAGAAACCTCAGTTTTCATTCTTTACATGCCGTCCACCTTTCTTTTTTTCTTCCTTATTTTTTCTTCCTCTTCTTTCTTTCTTGTGAGAGCATCTCTCAGTGGCCTGGAACTCCCTGGATTGTCTGAGCAGGCTGGTCAGCGACATTCAGAGATTCCCTACGGCCTCCACCCCTCCCCCGTGCTGGAATTGCAGTCACAACCACCCTTTATTTTCATGTTAGTTGTGGTTAGCTAGTTGACCTTGAGTGCATTCCTGTTTTTATGATTCTAGTCTCAACCTTCTTGGGCTCTTATGCAGATTAGGAAGAGAGCATGCTTGAAATCTCACATGTAGGAGCCTCTGCTCTGAGGATTGAGTTGAACCTTTCCTTGATGAACCGAATATGCCCGCTTGCTTTACTGCATAAATATTCAATGAATTTAATAAATAACAATCAGGACTCCTTAGCCCTAAATCATTAATCTCTACAGGTGTGGTGGCTTATCCAACAAAATCCCTCCTGGGAGGCATGTCCTCTCATGGTTAGTCAACTACAGTCACAACCATAGCTCTCGGGCACACAGGAACCATCAGGTTGGCAGGGTGTGCCAACACCAACAAAGGTATGACTCAGTGAACAAAAGGCAACTGAGAACCTGTCAAGCCAGCACGTTGGGGCTGTTAGGAATCTGCCCAGCCAACAGCTCTGTCTGCTAAAGGCACGGAAATAAAATGAGAAGGGGCTTGTTGCCAGCATGGAGCACATACACAAACTAACACCTTGAGTGATGTTTTCCACACCACAGGAAAAGTGATAGGTGGTGATATTGTATACTAGCTCAAGTCTAGCTGACCTTGTCTGAGTCTGCTTAGAGTCAACTTTGCCTCTGATTTTCAGGTGTGTTTATTCTCTGTGTAGCACCTATACTAAGTCACAAGCTGACTTGGCTGTTTCTGGAAGTCTCTGCTGACACGCCTCCCTGTGGTAAGGAGGTAGATGGTACTGAAAAGGTCACTCCCGTATTTACTTGTCTCTAGCCCACTAACTTGAATTTCATACTTTAGATGTGGTAGGATGGCTTTCCTTTCACTGGAAGAAAAATGTACTTCAAACATTTTGGCACCCTCCAGCCTCTGTATTAAAAAGCAAGCTTGTGAGGCTGGAGAGACAATTCTGTAGCTAAGAGCACTGGCTGTTCCTCCAGGGGACCTGTTCAAGTCCCCAGCACCCACAGGGCAGCTCACAACTACCTGTGACTCCACTCCAAGGGATCTGACTCCCGCTTCCAGCCTCTGAGGGCACCTGAACACACATGGCATATACACAGAGAAACACGTACATATTCCTTTAAAGAGATAATTTTGGCTTAACAGCTACTGCAGCCTTTCCGTGTTTGAAGAGCACTCAGCTTGGCCAAGGGAAGGAATGAAAATACTTTTAATGGGTAATGTTAGGTGAAGAGAAGGGACTGGAAATTCCATTGTGAACCCTGATCATTTGTGCTTCGGAAGGAGGGAAAGGATAAAAACTGGAAAGCAGAGACAAGGAAGGGATGTGGTAGCATCTTCCCCTAATATGAAATCACCCGACTTCCATTAGACAAGTCTTCGTGGGGCCATCGTCTTGAAGCAGAGACTGATGACATCATCAGGAATGGGAGCCTGGGTGGACGCCTGAGCTTCACCTCTGGGACCTGCCACCTCCATGTTGGCTGCCTCTCACAGTACGCCCGCCTCTCCCAAGGGCCAGTGAGCCCATCTGAAAACCAGTGATGCCTGTTACACGCAAGGACTTAAAAAATTTCTGTCATTGTACCTTCCTAGATAGCCATCCCCACAGTTACATTTGGAATCTTTTTCCATTAATCTGTTTACCCCCTTGCCTGTATGTATTTGAGCCTCATGCCTGCTGTTAAAAAAAAAACCACTGTTTTCAAAATATCTAAATATTCTACAAACATCAGTTCTCCGGTCAGTTCCTTTTCCTCTACAAACACAGAAGCCACTTCCTTGAGATTCAGCATTCTTTCAAGTTTAGTAGGTCGAGGGATTCACTGATGGAATCCATTCCGTCTTAATGCTGAGTGTTTGTGAATGAGCACATCGTCATTCAGATTAAAAACAACACACATGTGAGTCATGCCCTTAGTGGCCTAAACACCGACTCCCTATAAATGAGTGGCCACTAGAACGAAGATACACAAGTCAGGAGCTAGAGAAGGAGTGCATTTTGCAGTGAAGGCTGTCTGGATGGAGCCGCATTTTACAGTGAAACCTGTCTGGATGGAGCCTCTGGCCATCCTGCTGCTGGCATGCCTGCCAGTCTCTTCAGCGTACCCTCTGCACGGAGCAGTGAGGCAAGAAGACCACCCAAGCGTGGATCTTGCTCAGGTAAGCAACAAGGGAGGGGCCCACCTCAAGCGGAAGGACACCTGTACCTCCTTGGTCTTCCAACAGGAGTAGACGACTTGTTGTTGGAAGACATGAGAGAGTGAGGGGTAGAAACTCCACCCTACAGAGAGGGAGAGAGAGGCAAGGACAGGTAGCTAACAGTGGCAATGGCACAAGTTAAGAAGGGACAATGGGGATAGATGAAGTCTCTCCTCCTTCAGAATTATTCATCTGCTGCGACTTAAAGAAACAATGCACACTCTAATTTTTCTTGTGCACAGATGAATTGATCTAACACCATCCAGTATTAACAGTTCTGTTAATAATGGAGAGGGGAAAACTTAGATTCATTCATTTAGCGCCCTCACACACTTATGCCAGCCTCCTTACATTGGTAGCATATTAAATTGCAATGAAATAATAAAATGGGGAGTCTTAGTGAAAAAAATAAAATTAGGTATGATGCCTACTTTTGTTTCAGTAAGCTGGGAATAATTAAAATAGATTTTGAGGTCTGTATAAATGGTTTAAAATTCACAGCCACGGCTTTAAAACTGTACTGTCACTCCACTAGCAATATCTAGAAAAGTACTACAACTTTGGGAAAAATGAGAAGCAAGCGTTTAGAAGAAAGGACAGCAGTCCTGTTGTCACAAAGATCCAAGAGATGCAGAAGTTCCTGGGGCTGGAGATGACAGGGAAGCTGGACTCCCCCACCATGGACATGATGCTCAAGCCCAGGTGTGGCGTCCCCGATGTTGGTGGCTTCAGCACCTTCCCAGATTCGCCCAAGTGGAGGAAGAACCACCTCACCTACAGGTAACGAGCGGGCCCAAGGTTTTCACACAGTGTTAGCGCTGTGTCAGAGGCATCACACACTGCCTTCTCCCCTTCTCTCGGCAGGATTGTGAATTATACGCCAGATTTACCGAAAGAGAGTGTAGACGCTGCCATTGAGAAAGCGTTGAAAGTCTGGGAGGCGGTGACCCCACTCACGTTCTCCAGGCTCTCTGAAGGAGAGGCTGACATAATGGTCTCCTTCGCAGCAGGAGGTAATGCAGTGTACGGTCACTCATCTGGTGTTCGAGTTGTTCAGGCTACTAAAACAAAAAGCCTCACACTGGGAAATTTGTAAACCACAGAAAGGTATTGCTTGGAGTGCCAAAAAAAATTAGAAATACACAATAAAAGGGCTGCAGACTCAGTTTGTTGAGGGTCTGTTCTTAGGTAGCACCAAGAGACTCCCTCAGCTTCATTCACAGGGGCACTAACCATCGCAGTGTGTCACACCCTGAGCATCTCTACAGGAGCTCCTCGTGGTCCTGTCACATTGCAGATTATGCTTCCACATGAGAACTTTGAGAGACAGCAGCTTTCAGACCACACAGTTCCTGTGCTGTCTTATGTTTCTATAAATGTGTTTCCCACCAGAGCATGGAGACTTTTACCCCTTTGATGGACCAGGACAGAGTCTGGCTCATGCCTACCCACCGGGGCCTGGATTTTATGGAGATGTTCACTTCGATGATGACGAGAAATGGACGCTGGGACCATCAGGTAGGATGAGTTTTCCAAGAATAACTTGTCTAGAGCAAGCCTCAAACGGGATGTTCTGTTACCTTCCATTTCTGATTATCTGTGTGGCAACCTGAAGCCTTATCCATCTAATACTAACAAACTGTGTAAGCCGCTTCTTTCTTTGCCCCCACCAAGTACAAAAGAGTAATTGCCATTAGCTGTCATTTCCACAACTCAGGGTCTTGTACAGGGCTAAGCGTGTTGTAAGTTAATACTGTTTACCACCCCAGTAATAAGAGTAGTGTTGAATGGATGCCACTGAGTAAGTTAAGATCGCAAAAGCTGCCCTTTGAATTCTCATCTGCACCCTTTCCTTTTAAATGCAACGGTTTGGAGAAAATGCCAGAAACTAAAGGAAGATGCTCTGTTTAGATAAACACGCCACGTTTGCTAGCTTGGAAGCCTTTCTCCTCCCCAGACTCTTTCTGAAAAACTGTACTGAGTCTAAGCACTTTAGTTGAAATTTGTAAACGGCATTTGAAGTTTGGACACAGACTGTTGAAACAATCACGAGTTCTGGGTTTCTAAGTGTGGTGGGACCATTAACAGGAAGCATGTCTGCCGCAGGGCCGCAGGACACGACCAGGATTTACTCCCTTTAACTGCCTGAACCTCTGCTCCAATGGCCAGCACCTACAGATCTTTCCGCAGTGTGAAGTAGCTGAGTCTCGCTGTGTTCACCACAGAAACAGGCAGTGGGCATGCTTCTGTTTATACCCTTCGTGCGGCACCCAGGGCTGGGAAGTGGACTTTCTCCAAAAGTTAGTTTTTGATGGTTTCACAAATATATGTGATGCACTGCGAATATATTTATTCCCATTAACCTCATGGGAACTTTTTTTTATAACAATAAAAAGTTGACAATAGTGATGAAATCCCCAGTAGTTTTGTTACTTAAGAGGTTGAAGGCTATATAAATAGCTTGTGGTTGACTTAAAGTGTGGTTAAAACCAGTTTGTTACTAAATCTTAACAATGGTTTCTGATTTCTAGAGAATAAAGATTTATTTTTATTGGCATGGGATTCATCTTGGGCCTGCCAAAGAAATCTCTTTTGGAAACAGGACTTGCCACCGTTAGTACGGGAAGAGGAAGCTAGTATTCTGAGTAAGGAGGCTGCTAGCTAGTGAGAAACTGCCTCAGACACTGACTTCAAGTCAACCATGAAAGGCACGTGACGGAGTTTGCCAATCAGTGAGCCGACAATGAGGAGCAGGCGGTGTGTGACCGCAAGGGTGCCCCGTGCGGTTGCAGGAAAGTATGCACGTGCCTGTGGGATGGTGCCTGTTAGACCCTAAGCTCTGTGCTCTCTCAAACAGGGACCGACCTATTCCTGGTTGCCGCTCACGAGCTTGGCCACTCCCTGGGTCTCTTCCACTCGGACAAAAGAAGCTCTGATGTACCCTGTCTACAAGTTCTCCACCGGCTCGGCCCAGTTCCAGCTGTCTCAGGATGATGTAGATGGCATTCAGTCCCTGTATGGTGAGCACGGAGAAAAAAGGCCTAGAGCGTTCTTTGTTTGTCTGTTTTCTCTTCAGTGTTCTTTTAGAGCGCTGCACATGTCTTTAATAGCCCTACAGTGTGAATGGCTGATCCTAAGTTCGTCTTTACCTCAGCCCCCGAAGACCCTGAAGAAATATAAAACTGACAGCATCAGGAACTAACACAGGCTTGGTGCTTAAAGAAGTTTCCAAGCACAAAATCCATCAAAATAAGGGAGAGTCCTAAAAATGGCCAGGAGGGAAACTGGCCACACAGGTCTTTAGGGATCGGCCAGCTACTGGCCAAGGCCACAGATGAAGCATGTCTCCAACGTGGTGAGTAGGCAGCAGTGGGGCCCACAAGGACATGCCGGTGTGCCCTGCTGGAGTTTAAGCCTCTGTGAGGAGAGAAGAGGGGCTTGCAGGCATGAAGATGGACTTGTCTGAACCGGATGACATTCTGCTTCCCTGATGTCTGTAAAACCCTGTTAGGGACCTGGAGTGATGGTGACTCCAGATGGCATCCAGGTTGTCAGGAGTTCCCCAGAAGAAACCCACAGAAGCAGTTGACCTGAGCATATGGGAGCTCAAGGACCCCAGCCAGACGGCTGGGGAAACAGCATAGGACCGAACCAGGCCCCCTGAACGTGGCCGACAGCTAGGAGGCCTGGGCAGTCTCTGGTGGTGGAAATAGCTTTTGGCCCTAATGCATGCATGGGCTTTGGGAGCCCATTCCCTTAAGGAGGGATACTAGACACACAGGGAGGGCCTATACCCTGCCCCAAATGATGTGACAGACTTTGATGATCCCCCGTGGAAGGCTTCATTCTCCCTGGGGAGTGGGTGGGGGTGAGATGGGAGGGGGCAGGGGTGGTCAGTGGGGGACATGGGAGGGTGGGAAGGAGAGGGAACTGGAATCAATATGTAAAATAAGATTGTTTCTAACTTATATTTTAAGAAAAAAATAAGTCCTTCTAAGGCTGGGGCAATCGGGCATTTACAAAGAGCTGTGGGGTGTGGGTGAACTGTTAGGGGTGGCTTTGGGTGTGAAAGGCAGAGGTTCACATGGCCGGAAGGCAATGCTTGGGGTGTACCTGATAAGGCGGCTCCTACTGTGCTCTCTGTGTCCACTCAGCGGCGGAGAAGTTTGGACAGTGTGTAAATTGTTAGACACATCCCTGGTCTTCTAACATTCGTTTCCCCTAACCTGTTCCCTTCAGGACCACAGCCCTTCTCGGATGCCACAGTGGTACCCATGTCCTCTGTCTCTCCGAGACCTGAGATCCCAGCCAAGTGTGATCCTGCTCTGTCCTTTGATGCAGTCAGCACCCTAAGAGGGGAACTGCTGTTCTTTAAAGACAGGTTAGAACACAACATTGTTTCCCTAGCTATTCTTTTGCTTCAATGCTCAGAAAGGAAAATAAACTTAGGGTTATATGTAATGTATTTATATACAAAACATACTGTAATGTGATTATAGCATATGTCTGGCATATTTTAAAATCTCTGGTATATATTTTTTTAAAGATCTCATTGGATTTGTCCAGAATTTCTTTCTAGGCTCCCAGAAGATGATTTTTGGTCAGTAGACTATAAGATCCATAAAATCAGGGAACTTCCTCTCTTATTTTTACTTTTCAGTCTTTATGTATCATAAGTCATGGAACTTCTAAAAGTTCCAGCCATCTTTAGGACCAGACAAGTGTCTTTACCCTTGCTAGGAAGCACTGTTATTTGAACGAACTCACTTTAGCAAAGGGGATGCATACTCATGCACAATTCTTGAATAGCACAAAAGGCAGAAGTCCTTCCATTCCCTCTGTCCCGTGTCCCTGCCTGTGCGTGCCTGCTGCCACCAATTTTCTTTGTGCCACTTTACCAAGGTGGTCACATCTGAAAGGTATATAACATTTTAAAAATGCTAACAGATTCATAAAATATATACTATTTTTACATGCCTATGAATGGAACTGAGCTGGAACAGGGTGCTCCTAGGGTGCTGACTAATCCCTGTCACCCTGGCTGTCTCCATCACCTTAATCACCTGTGGGACAATGCAGTACACTGCTGTGGGCAGGTGACTCACCGTGGAGGAGAAGACTGTGTCCTTCTGTGTTTACTATTTTAAGAAGGAAAGACTGTTGCAGTTATCATATATCACAGGTACTTTTGGCGCATGTCCCGCTGGAATCCCGAGCCTGAAGTCCATTTGATTTCGGCATTTTGGCCCTCTCTTCCTTCACACTTAGATGCGGCCTATGAAGCTCACAGCAAAGACAGAGTTTTCATTTTTAAAGGTAAGAACTGTACCAATTTTTTACTCTGCTGAGATAACGCTTACTGTAAAACCTTGGAAGTAAGAGTTTTCTCCATTTGCTACACTTTAGATGTTTTATGGGAAGATGAGCAGACCAGAATTGGTGACCGTGAATAAGCATTTTAAACGTCTGACCTACCAAGGGAACCTTAGTCTAAGAAGCATAGACCAGGAGGCCATTAGAAGAAACAGCCAGAGCTGGTTACTGTAACTCATGTAGACCAGGAGGCAATTAGAAGAAACAGCCAGAGCTGGTTACTGTAACTCATGTAGACCAAGAGGCAGCTAGAGGGAAGGACTAGGGCTGGTTACTGTATCAGACAATAAATGAAGATAGGAATACAGAAAAATGAACACAGAAAGGGCAATGTATCTGCTTGCCTATTTGTTCATTCACCATTTTTCCTTGTTCAGAAAGTACTATTTTTGAAACAAGGTCTCACTATGTAGCTCTGGCTGATTTCATATTCACTGTGTAGTCCAAGCTGGCCTCAGACTCACAAAGATTCCCCTATCTCTGAATCCCCAGGGCTAGGATTAAAGGTGTTCATCACCACAGCCAGCCAGGAAACAATTTTTAAAATACCAGCTGTAGGCTAAGCATGGAGTTAGGGGTTTGAAAGAAAACCAAGGTTTCACCTTTCATTTTTATCAAACAATTCACTTATTCTCATTTCTAAAACCAATTGGTTTCACTCAGACAAAATTTCTTGGGAAATATTTCAACAGGAAACCAGTTCTGGGCAGTCCGAGGAAATGAGGTCCAAGCAGGTTATCCAAAAGCGCTCCACACTCTCGGCTTCCCTCCCACCGTGAAGAAAATCGACGCAGCTGTTAGTGACAAGGAGAGGAAGACCACGTACTTCTTTGTTGAGGACAAATACTGGAGGTGAGCTACGGTGGGAAACTTGCTTAAAGCCTAATTACAGAAGTTAGTTTTCTTTCTTTCAGGATACCTGTCCACCCTCTAACGTTCCCAAACCTCAAGTTTTCAGATTAAGCAAAAAAGAACATGGTGGTTCGGTTTTGCAAACACAAAGGGCTTTTACGGTGTGCGTTACTGGGCATGCATCCAGACACCAAAGGACATGGGGGCGGTGAACCTGAGGCCACAAGCACATTGCCTTCTCTCTTCACTGTCACTCACCATTGACTGCCAGGCAAAGCCAGGTCTAACACACTGTGCTGTCTCCCAGGCCTGCTGTGGTAAACAGCAAGCTTGTTTTTCACCAGTTGGCTTTAACTTAGCTTCCATCTTCTGTTTATATAAATTTTATGTATTTATGACAGGTAGATTATCAGGTTTTGTGTGTTCAGGGTTAGAAAATTGACCTTCAGTACAAATATGGAATTTCTATAGACTATAGCATGGTAATCCTGTTTCAAGGCATCATTATTGAACAGGAGATGCTAACACACCCAGGTAGTTTACATGTTATCATACCTCCACTACACAGTTTGAAAAGTTGTCCTAGGGCCCTGCACTGGACTGATTGCACCGTGTCACACTGTGTGTGTGTGTGTGTGTGTGTGTGTGTGTGTGTGTGTGTGTGATGGAACTTGTCGTGATGTGGATCTGAACTCCTTTTACTTGCTGTAGATTTGATGAGAAGAGACGTCTTATGGATAAAGGCTTCCCCAGGCTGATAAAAGACGACTTTCCAGGAATCGAGCCACAGGTTGATGCTGTGTTGCAGGCATTTGGTAGGAAAAACTTCATGTCATTGACAATGGGGGCATTTGCGCATTTTATGGCATCACAGTTAAGTGTATGTGGGGCTGGTTTAATTCATAGCTTTCTATAAAAAATGTTGCAATAAACATTTGCCTACAAATTTCTAAATAATATTACTGGAACTTACTAAGGTTGGTTGTTTTTATGTGATGTCAAGACTTGATAAGGTTGTTAAAATGACAATAATGAAGGGAGAAATCAATCGAAAAGCTTTCAAATCGTTTGCCTTATGTCTTTTTTACTTAAATTCTTGAAATGTTAACTGGTAACTGATACAAACTGGGTCTAAAATTCTGTTTTTGCTTAACAATTGCCAAGATTCTATTCCATAACACTGGGACATCCTCAGAGTGATCTTCCACACCTCTGTGTCATATAAGACACAGCCAAGTGCGAGCCAGGTGGGCTGGAAGCTGGTTCCATTCCCCACCAGCCCTCATCTCCTATCTCTCCTATCCCATCTACTGTGCCTGGGCTCCTGGAGCAGTCTGAAATTATTTACATTGTTCACTAGAAAATAAATAATACCGTCCTTTCACGTGCTCAAAAGACGAACTTTGATTGCTGGTAATGGGCTTATAGGAAAACAAAACATTTCCTTGCTCCCTCTGAAGACATATCTAGGGTATCTTCCTGAACTTTAGTCATGACAATCATGAGACCACTGATGACGTTATTGAAACAACTTGCCCATAATATACACAAGAAGAAAATGAGCCTCTGATGAATTTCATCGTTTATCTCATTCCCTTACGCCCATTGCCTACCACACCGTGATTTAAGAGCTCATTGGGCAAGGGAGGTTGGAAAGAAAGGAAGAAACCCTTGAATATTAAAATCCCTTAGGATTCTCTGTTTAGTAGTAGTATATTGCTTTAGCCTGCTGGCCTCAGAGCCAGAGGAATGAGGTGGAATCCTCACTCTGCTGCTCATTGGGAAAATGCTAGCGCTTTCCTAATTTTCAGTTTGTCCTCGTTTGGTGTGGCAGACATTTTTGGTAAGGATTCATCAGTGACTTAAAACTCATGCAAATCATTCGGCTTGGTGCCAGACAGACATCAGCTCGTGTTCTGTCTCAGTTATTCATATCATAAACTCCACTTACTTAAGGAAGTGTCATCATCTTTCTCATCTGTGTTTACAGGGTTTTTTTATTTCTTCCGTGGATCATCCCAGTATGAGTTTGACCCCAATGCCAGGACGGTGACACACACCCTGAAGAGTAACAGCTGGCTTCTCTGCTGACTGTCACAGAAGATACACAAACACTGGAAAATGCGTCCCTCATTTCTCACTTAATTTATTGCATGTCACAATGACTAACTATTCCTGTATGCTGTGTGGCTCAGGAAGACGAGTCCAGGAGTCTTTCTCGTGAGCATTTCCTGGACCCTGTACTTCTCTTGAGTCGTGTTGCACAGAAGTGAAAACCTCTCATCTCAGCAGTGACAGGGTGTGTCTCCGCGCATCTCCTATTGTTTAATAAAGAGCTTTATTTTTGGACCATTCCTTGCTTCCTAGAGTAATCCCTGTTCAGAGTGTTAACGTGCTATGTACTGAACATCTGAAAGTGTGCATCAGGGTTAATGGAGTCACACCCCACGTGTGGGGCCACATGGCTATCACGTACCCCTCTCCTATCCTGTCTACCAACCAAAGCTTGACTTTTGCCCCATACACATTGTATTATTGATGTATCTAAAGAGGAAGGAGATACATCGGTAGACTGGGGAAAGAGCTTTCTAGAATACTGAAGCCTACAAACAGAGGTTATGAATTAGTCCACTTCATGCCTTTACATGTAGGCAAACAGAATTAATTTGGAGGTTTAGTCAGACCTTCATTTCTTCACTGGTATTCCTAACTGTCACGGAGACTGGATTTCTTGTAACAGCTTCACTTCATCATCAAAACAGTCTCGTTAGAGCTTAGTTTCTAGGTGTTCCTGGATCATAGGGCTTTGCACGCACATCTCAGTTGTATGGCATCATTGACACCACTAAGATGTATCTTATTCCATACAAGGTACATTATCGCTGACTCCCATAAATGAATGATTGTATAACTGCAAATTATAGATATTATTAAAGTATCCACTCTTTCAGTTCCTTGAACATGACAAGATTTTTTAAAATTTGTGAGTCTTCAATAGTAGTGTTATGTTTTCTTGGCATGGATCCATCTCTTGGACAGATGCATTTTTCCATTATTGTGCTGGAGAAAGCTTTCTAACCAATGAAACTAAAAAGTAGATACGAGTGGTTCACAAGAGTGTTGGGAAGGAGATGTGGAAGACATTAGGTAAGCAGAACAGGTCATCCAGGCTATCTAGATATCCATAGAAGCATAACTTACCTACTATGCGTGGAAGAAAATTTAAACAGAGAAGTGACATGGTCTGCTGTACAGTGAATAATTACTCTACCTGAGAAGAACAGGCAGGGGAGGGAAGCAATGATAAAAGTTGGAACACAGACAAAAGAGCTTTGTAGACCCTCTAATCCACCCCAAGATGCTCTCTGCAATTGATACCTGAAGGCAAAGGAAAAGCCAGTCTTCCCAAATGGGGTCTTACTGAGTGTGCTAACCACAATTCCAGGCAGGCCCCATGATCAAGGGCAGTTGGCCAACACAACACAAACTCAATGGTATTTTTGCAGATTTTTTTGTCTTATTTTGCTTTGTTTGAATTTTTTTGCTTACTGATCTTTTTCTTGTTGTTTTGATTTCCATTTTGTGTTTTTGTGGAGTGTTTTTTGTATGTGTTTCATTTTTCTCTTTTTTTAGGAGAGAAAAAGAAAAAGAACACAAATTGGGTGGGTAGGAAGGTAGGGAGGAATCGGGGAAGGGAAAAAACATGATCAAAATATGTTGCATGAAATTTTTTCAATGAAAGAGTTTTCAAAAGAAAAAATAAAGGGCTGTGTAGATAACAGAGCTGGATACTAAGGACAGAGATGCTTGGAGAAGACTGCATGAGAACTCTAGATTCAAGCTATATTTTATAGCATTCATGTTTTATAATAGAGAGACAAGAGAGTTCCCAGGAAGAGGACAAAAGTAAAAGAAGCAATCCTAGATGTGTGGTCTGAGAAACTTCTTGGAGGGTAGTAGTTTCATTTGTCCAGGGAAGACCAGACAATAACCCAGGGGAATAATCTCATTTTTAATCTCATGTATAGACTCCTAAGAGGTAACCACATGAAGATATCAATAATCTGTTTAATAACAAAACATGAAACTCAAAATGGGAGATTTGGTGGTATCCACTCAGCCCACTGAACACACAGTTATAGATTAACTAGAGAGAAAAGAGGTGATATTTCAGAATGAAACCTCGTCACATGAACTGTCCAGACATAAGGACACGCTGTGGACAAACAGCTCTTGAATTCTAGTGGCCCACCACCAAAACGTATCAAGATATGCCACCGGGGTCTCTACTCCAAGTGGCCTAACGTAAGACCTTGTCTAATGGAACTGTTTTGGCCTTGCCCTTCTCTATGCAGGGCAAGGAGCTTTGGTAAACATCATACTGCCTCTTAAAGATCCTGTGGACACAACAAACATGACTTGTCCACATTTTTTTTGACAAAGGAACTTGCATCTCTTCTTCTAACAAAGGAGATAGGGAAGCAATAACCAGTCATGTGTCTGGGGCTTTCCTCCACCCCCGCCAAAATTCTATTTCTCTACAAATGGCCAATAAATACATTTTAAAAAATGTTTGACATCCTTAGCTACCAGCTATCATAAAAATGCATGTTATAGTTTTATCTTACCTGTGTCAGAATAGGTATTATCAAGAAAACAGATGAGAACAATGCTGGCCAGAATGTAGAGAAAGGAGAGCTCAAAGCATAAACTTGTGCCGAGGTTCCTCAAACAAACAAACTGAAAACAGAGTTTCCATATGGCCCAGCTGTGCCGATACCGGGATCTACCCAGAGCCATATGACAACATACGTGCACACCCCGGTTAACAGCTGCACTGTCCATGTGGCTAGAAAACGGCCTGCCTGGATGGCCGTCAACAGATGAAGGGGAAAGACGAAGGAACACACTTGCACAACGGAAGTGCTTAACCTTGGAGGAACGGACTCAGGACATCTGCAAGAGAACAGATGCACCTGGAAGTCATCATACTAAATAACCCACACTCAGAAAACAGATGGGTTTAATATGTGCGTGCGTGTGTGTGTGTGTGTGTGTGTGTGTGTGTGTGTGTGTGGTGTGTATGTGTATATGTAGGTGTTGTGTGTGGTGTGTGTGTATGTGCATGTATGTGGGGTGTGTATATGTGTGTATGTACATGTGTGTGTGGTGTGTTGTCTGTGTATGTATGTGTTGTGTGTGTGTGTGGTGTGTATGTGTCTGTGTTGTGTGTCTCTCTGTGTGTATATGTATGTATTATGTGTGGTGTGTGTATGTGCATGTCTGTGTGTACTGTCTGTATATGTATGTGGTGTGTGTGTCCATGGTGCATATATGTGTGTGTGTGTGATGTATATCTGTGGTATGTTTATGTGTCTGTGTCTGGTGTGTATATGTGTGTGGCATGTGTGTGATACGTATATGCCTGTCTGTGTGTGTGTGTGTGTGATGTTTGTGTGTGTGCCTTTAGTTTGTTGTGGTGATGATTAAAAGAAACAAATGGCTGGGTGTTGGTGGCGCACGCCTTTAATCCCAGCACTCAGGAGGCAGAGGCAGGCAGATCTCAAACCCTGTCTCAAAAAAACAAAAGAAAGAAAGAAAGAAAGAAAGAAAGAAAGAAAGAAAGAAAGAAAGAAATGTATTGGCTCTTTAAAAAATGTGATTTACTTATCCCTAATGGTGACTCTGGAAAAGACTTTTTTATAGCAGAGCTCCAGACCTCAATCAGCCACACAGAAGCAATACTCAGCCCCAGAACTCTGCCTTCCAAGGGCTCGCCATTCGCAAGCCAGGTAAACAGAAAGTGAGTTAACTGAGCTTAGCTCTGTCGTTACTGCTCTCTAGTCAATGCCTTTGCATTTTTAGATTGCAGACCTTTAGTGATTCTGGTCCTGTAGGAAGGCTGAGTTGCCTCCATTACAGAGCTTCTGAATTTACAGCCCTCCACGCATGAAAACCATGAGGACCCTTAGCACTAAGACATGTTCAGATGCCACTCAGAGTTCACCCTCGGGGCTCTAGCGGGGCACTGCAGCTGTGCCTTTTCCTGTGTTTGCTGATTTAGACTCCGTGCTATCAGAGGGCGTCCTTCATGGACTGAAAACTGAAAAGCTCTGAGTCCTCCACCAGTCTGCTCTTCTGCAGAGCGACTCCTTCTCCCATGATCCCAGGATTAGTAACAGCAGCGCAACCTGCTTCTGTCCTGAAACCCCGTCTTCTCCTTGCTCACAGACCACATTCTACGGTTTACCACAGCCGATGCACTCCACCTCTGTCCGGGGGTGGGCGGGGGCGTTAAGGGATGCACTGTAAAAACGGCAGAGACTACAGGGCTGCTACTCACCCTTAGCAACAGTCTTCCTCCAAGTCAAGCCGCTTCGCCTACAGAAAGCTCACCCTCCTACAGAACGTGGCTCCCTTCCCACGTTGCCCGTGATAGCCAGATGAAACTGAACCCCAAGGTACCTATTAAGTCTTGGAATCAATTTTGGCATGACAAATTCCTGAGCACACACGTTAAGTCTGTTTGGAACAGAATGTAGTTGAGCCTGCGTTGAAAACAGCCCGGGTGCTGACACGAAGTCGCAGCCCAGTGGGCAAACACACAAACTGGGTGAAAGGCCAGGCATGTGGTGCCCGTCTCAGCCGTCATTTAGGTCAAGGCCTGAAGGCGGCGACTTTGGGGATAGCCTGGGCTACAGAGGGAGACACCGCCAGAGAAGCGGGTGAGGTTAAGGTCGGGCTCCGATCTCAGTTGACTGGAACAGGTGAGGTTTGGCGATGAAGTGAAGCTCCCAGGTTGTGAGAGGGCCACTGAGAGCAATCTGACACGACCCAAGGTAAGCTGTGTAGGGAGACCGGTGGAGCCCAGCCCTGGAAAGGCCAGACGCCACGGGTCACGAGGCTGCTAAAGGAGGGAGGCGGAGAGCGTACAGCTGAGCACTTATTTGACGAGCCGCAGCTGACCTAGTACAAACGAGAGTCTGCGGACAACGGGAAGATGTGTGGAAGCACACTATGCAGGCTCCGGGCGCTTTGAGATTCAGTCAAGGAATTTGAACAGACTTGGATCTGTGTGGGAAAACCGAACTGCTTTCTCTTCCGTATTCTCCACACGCTGCCACCAGACAGGTGGGGGCGTTCTACCACACTAACCAGTTCTCTGGGTGTCCCAACGTCAGCTGTGTATCCTACAGTTTAAGTATGGCACCGCTGCCTAGCGCGTAGGCAGCCACATAACACTGCTTTTCACTGCAGATCCCAAGAGCATAGCTGGGCCTCCTGGGTCTCTGGAGACCGGACCCTGACCAGGACTTCCTGTTATCTCTCTTTATGTGGAATAATTTGCTAGA